GCGGCTTGTTCTTCACTAGGGACCCTACACAGCGGCTTGTTCTTCACTAGGGACCCTACAGAGCGGCTTGTTCTTCACTAGGGACAGAGGCTGAGAAGGAAAGCCAGCTGAGGAGAGTATACCGTGTCACAATGATGGATCAGTAACCAACACTGTTAAGGGCCAGTCCACATTAGCTCACTCTTTTAAGTATTACAAGTGTCTACAACTTTTGGTTTTTTGCTATCATTCACTGATCCTTTCTAGAAATTATTCTGTATTTCATTGCTTTATTATTCTTTCATCCTTTTTGGTTATTGTATTTCTTCTAACTTCTCTAGTACAGAAAATAAAAGCGCGCCATTACTACACTCAACCTTGAGCTAGCTCCGTAAGGCAAATGATCTCAATGCCGTTCTACCTGTACCTCTCCTGTCTCTACTCTGCTGATTCCACCTGCTTCTCCATCTCCTTGTCCTACCATTCCTGGTTACCTAGTAAATCTGCTGATTAAATCCTAGATTGTCTGAGATTCAGTAAGGACAGGAACATCTCTTTATTTTTCTACTGCTAAGTTAATTATTCCATGCCCTTCCAACTCACAGTAGAAACAAAGATCTTTTAAATTTATTTTGAAAGCACTATATTCATTTTGACAGTGGAGCTTAAGAATCCTTCCTCTGGGGGCTGGGAAGGTGTGGTAGAGCGCTTGCCTTGCATGCATGAGGTCCTGGGTTCGATTCCTCAGCACCACATAAGCAAAAAAAGAAAAACGCCAGAAGTGGCACTGTGGCTCAAGTGGTAGAGCGCTAGCCTTGAGCTGAAGAGCTGAGGGACAGCGCCCAAGCCCAGAATCCTCCTCTGGTACTTGGAACTCTGAACTCTAGTCTTCCAGGCGTGGTGTCCCTATCAGCATGCTTTCTCTCCCAGGAGTCCCTGGGCAAATGCGTCCTTCTAATTATATACTCCACACAAATTAATGTTTATCCAAATGATTTCCCACCACTTGAGGGCTTCAAACCACCCAACTCACCTTGTTTCTCTGAAATTTCTCTCAATCATTTAACTTGTACACATTCACCCTTGTACATTACTAATATATACCAGCACAAAGCAATACCCAGATAGCGTTATCTCAGTATCGACTTTAACTAGCTTAATAGAAGGGCAATTTCTCAGCTGTAAGAAATACGTTTTAGAATTTTTTATATAATTAAAGAACACAAAAAGTGGCTCCAATATTCCAACAAGTATTCATCAAATGTAACAACATACCTTGCCTGCCAGGCGGCTGGAGATGATTCCATTGCTAGATATAAGACAATCAGCAAGAGTAGTTTTTCCTGTTAAAAATAACATTAAAAATCAGTCTTTTTAAAGGGGTTGGTGGGCTGACTGACCTATGGATTTTATGTCATAAGAATTTGTTTAGCAAGGGACATTTTAAGTTTTACAGTCTTTTGTACAGAACACTACCCAGAAGGACATGGACAGGGTACTCTCATCTTGTGGAGCTCATTAGCCTCGTCTGAGTTTTCTAGAATACCAGTTTAACACATTTTAAGTTTGTTTTGCACACACAGGGACCGATTTTAAAGAGCACAAAACTATTTTCAGGCCTCATGTCCTCAAAATGTGTGCAATATAATCCCACAAACTCACTGAAGAGCAGGGCTGGTCAGTGATTTGTACAGAAAACTCATTCTCAGCTGGCTTCACCTGTAAAGGACCCATTATCTCTCTCTCCCAGTTCCCATACTCCAGCGTTTATACCAGTGGCCAAGGGCCTACCACCTCCCCTGTTCAATCCACCCCAAGCTCTTCAACTTGTCTGATCTAATCTACCACTTGTTATGCTATTACCCTGCTTTACTCTTTCCCTAATGGCTCCCTACACCCTAATAACGCTATGGTTGCTTCACAGTCTGTCTGAGCTATCTCTGCCCTGGTCCTGGGCTTCTTTCCTCCTTCCCCTGCAGCTTACAGTGATGCCCCCTCTGTCTTCCTGAGCCCCTGCTGGTGGAGCATCCCCAACATTAACTACTCTGACACCTTTCCTAACCCACCCTAGAGCTGTGTCCTTGAGTTCTTCCAATGCTTACAATCCGCATTTCTCTCATACATCTGACCCAGCCCTCTGTCACCCCTAAATGCTCCTCCAGGATTGGGGAGCAACAAACGTCTGCCTCCTGATAAACCTAACAAAAGGCTTCAAACTTAGCAGCTTTCCCACAAATGCCTGAGGAGTTAAGTAAGATTCTATTCAAAGGCCCCGGGGCGTGGTGACCAGAACTGTAGGATTTTGCACACAAAGCCATTTAAGAAATGTGCACAATTTAACAAAACATCGGGTTCTGGTTTAAACCTAGGCACGCAGAGACACGCCTGCTCCCACGAAGGAGAGCGAGGCGCGCAGACAGCTGCTCACCGTGGTCGACGTGAGCCAAGACGCAGATGTTCCTGATGCGGGCGGCGTTCCTCTGCAGCTGGGCCGTCTTCGCCACGCTCTTGAGCACCATGGTGACCGGCCTCCGCGACTAGGAGTGACACAGGTGTGACGGGTGACTGCTCCGACCCCTGACCCCTGACCCCTTCAACCGACACGTTTATTGCTGGGCGGGGCGCAGCCTGAAAGTCAGGGAGCAGGGACGGTGCGCGCGGGTCTGCTCTGCTCGTCCGGACTCGTCCGAGGACGGCGGGGCGGCGGCGGCGCTTCAGGACGGGGGGGGGGGGGGGGGGGGGGGCATCGCCCTGCGCCGGCCCGCGCCCCTCCGCCGGCCCGCGCCCCTCCGCCGCCCCGCGCCCCTCCGCCGCCTCAGCCCCGCGCCCCTCCGCCGGCCCGCCCTGCGCCCCTCTGCCGCCTCAGCCCCGCGCCCCTCCGCCCGCCCGCGCCCCTCCGCCCGCCCGCGCCCCTCCGCCGCCTCAGCCCAGCGCCCCTCCACCGCCTCAGCCCCGCGCCCCTCCGCCGCCTCAGCCCCGCGCCCCTCCACCGCCTCAGCCCCGCGCCCCTCCGCCGCCTCAGCCCCGCGCCCCTCCGCCGCCTCAGCCCCGCGCCCCTCCACCCGCCCCGCGCCCCTCCACCGCCTCAGCCCCGCGCCCCTCCGCCGCCTCAGCCCCGCGCCCCTCCACCCGCCCCGCGCCCCTCCACCGCCTCAGCCCCGCGCCCCTCCGCCGCCTCAGCCCCGCGCCCCTCCACCGCCTCAGCCCCGCGCCCCTCCGCCGCCTCAGCCCCGCGCCCCTCCGCCGCCTCAGCCCCGCGCCCCTCCACCCGCCCCGCGCCCCTCCACCGCCTCAGCCCCGCGCCCCTCCGCCGCCTCAGCCCCGCGCCCCTCCACCCGCCCCGCGCCCCTCCACCGCCTCAGCCCCGCGCCCCTCCACCGCCTCAGCCCCGCGCCCCTCCGCCGCCTCAGCCCCGCGCCCCTCCGCCGCCTCAGCCCCGCGCCCCTCCGCCGCCTCAGCCCCGCGCCCCTCCGCCCGCCCGCGCCCCTCCGCCCGCCCGCGCCCCTCCGCCGCCTCAGCCCGGCGCCCCTCCACCCGCCCCGCGCCCCTCCGCCGCCTCAGCCCCGCGCCCCTCCGCCGCCTCAGCCCCGCGCCCCTCCACCCGCCCCGCGCCCCTCCGCCGCCTCAGCCCCGCGCCCCTCCACCCGCCCCGCGCCCCTCCGCCGCCTCAGCCCCGCGCCCCTCCGCCGCCTCAGCCCCGCGCCCCTCCGCCGCCTCAGCCCCGCGCCCCTCCACCGCCTCAGCCCCGCGCCCCTCCGCCGCCTCAGCCCCGCGCCCCTCCACCGCCTCAGCCCCGCGCCCCTCCGCCGCCTCAGCCCGGCGCCCCTCCACCGCCCCGCGCCCCTCCGCCGCCTCAGCCCGGCGCCCCTCCGCCGCCCCGCGCCCCTCCACCCGCCCCGCGCCCCTCCACCGCCTCAGCCCGGCGCCCCTCCGCCGCCCCGCGCCCCTCCACCCGCCCCGCGCCCCTCCACCGCCTCAGCCCGGCGCCCCTCCGCCGCCCCGCGCCCCTCCACCCGCCCCGCGCCCCTCCGCCGCCTCAGCCCGGCGCCCCTCCGCCGCCCCGCGCCCCTCCACCGCCTCAGCCCCGCGCCCCTCCGCCGCCTCAGCCCCGCGCCCCTCCGCCCGCCCGCGCCCCTCCGCCCGCCCGCGCCCCTCCGCCGCCTCAGCCCGGCGCCCCTCCACCCGCCCCGCGCCCCTCCGCCGCCTCAGCCCCGCGCCCCTCCGCCGCCTCAGCCCCGCGCCCCTCCACCCGCCCCGCGCCCCTCCACCGCCTCAGCCCCGCGCCCCTCCGCCGCCTCAGCCCGGCGCCCCTCCACCCGCCCCGCGCCCCTCCGCCGCCTCAGCCCCGCGCCCCTCCGCCGCCTCAGCCCCGCGCCCCTCCACCCGCCCCGCGCCCCTCCGCCGCCTCAGCCCCGCGCCCCTCCGCCGCCTCAGCCCCGCGCCCCTCCGCCGCCTCAGCCCCGCGCCCCTCCACCCGCCCCGCGCCCCTCCGCCGCCTCAGCCCGGCGCCCCGCGCCCCTCCGCCCGCCCGCGCCCCTCCGCCGCCTCAGCCCCGCGCCCCTCCGCCCGCCCGCGCCCCTCCGCCGCCTCAGCCCGGCGCCCCTCCGCCGCCTCAGCCCCGCGCCCCTCCGCCGCCTCAGCCCCGCGCCCCTCCGCCGGCCCGCGCCCCTCCGCCGCCTCAGCCCCGCGCCCCTCCGCCCGCCCGCGCCCCTCCGCCCGCCCGCGCCCCTCCGCCGCCTCAGCCCCGCGCCCCGCGCCGGCCCGCGGGCCCGGAGGCGGGGGCTCGGGGAGCGTGGGCCGGGGAGCGTCGGGCTCCCGCACCGGGCGGGTGCGGCGCGCACCTTCCGCCCCGTCCCCGCCGCGCCCCGGGCCCGCCCTCACCGGCCCGCCTCGGGCTCCGGCTCCGGCTCCGCGCACGTCCGCGCCGGAGAGGCCTCCGCACGCCGGAAGCAGGGGGCGGGGCGCGGACGCACGACCTCTGACCGCGGACGCCGCCGGAAGTCGGCGCCGAGCCCGCCTCCCGCGCTCCCGCGGTCGCCTTGACGACGGCGGGCGCGAAGGCCGCGCCGGGAGCAGCGGCGAGCGGACGCCATGAGGGTGCGGTGCCTGTGTCAGATCTGTACCTGCGGGTGAGGACGCGTGCCCCGCGAAGGCACGGGGGCGGTGCAGGACGTGTGCGGCCTGCGTGCGTGCGAGGCCCGGTGTGCGGCCCCGGTGTGCGTGCGAGGCCCGGTGTGCGTGCGAGGCCCGGTGTGCGGCCCCGGTGTGCGTGCGAGGCCCGGTGTGCGGCCTGCGTGTGCGTGCGAGGCCCGGTGTGCGGCCTGTGTGCGTGCGAGGCCCGGTGTGCGGCCTGCGTGTGCGTGCGAGGCCCGGTGTGCGTGCGAGGCCCGGTGTGCGTGCGAGGCCCGGTGTGCGTGCGAGGCCCGGTGTGCGGCCCCGGTGTGCGTGCGAGGCCCCGGTGTGCGTGCGAGGCCCGGTGTGCGGCCTGCGTGTGCGTGCGAGGCCCGGTGTGCGGCCTGTGTGCGTGCGAGGCCCGGTGTGCGGCCTGCGTGCGTGTGTGAGGCCCCGGTGTGCGGCCCCGGTGTGCGGCCCCTGTGTGCGGCCTGCGTGCGTGTGTGAGGCCCCGGTGTGCGGCCTGCGTGCGTGTGTGAGGCCCCGGTGTGCGGCCTGCGTGCGTGTGTGAGGCCCCGGTGTGCGGCCTGCGTGCGTGCGAGGCCCAGTGTGCGGCCTGCGTGCGTGTGTGAGGCCCCGATTTGCGGCCTGCGTGCGTGCGAGGCCCGGTGTGCGGCCCCGGTGTGCGGCCCCGGTGTGCGGCCTGCGTGCGTGCGAGGCCCCCGTGTGCGGCCTGCGTGCGTGCGAGGCCCGGTCTGCAGCCTGTGTGTGCGAGGCCTCTAGTCTGCGACCTGTGTGTGTGCGAGGCCCCTAGTCTGCGACCTGTGTGTGTGTGCGAGGTCCCTAGTCTGCGGCCTGTGTGTGCGAGGCCCCTAGTCTGTGGCCTGTGTGTGCGAGGCCCCTAGTCTGTGGCCTGTGTGTGCGAGGCCCCTAGTCTGTGGCCTGTGTGCGTGTGAGGCCCCTAGTCTGCGGCCTGTGTGCGTGCGAGGCCCCTAGTCTGCGGCCTGTGTGTGTGCGAGGCCCCTAGTCTGCGGCCTGTGTGTGTGCGAGGCCCCTAGTCTGTGGCCTGTGTGTGTGCGAGGCCCGGTCTGCAGCCTGTGTGTGCGAGGCCCCTAGTCTGCGGCCTGTGTGTGTGCGAGGCCCCTAGTCTGCGACCTGTGTGTGTGTGCGAGGTCCCTAGTCTGCGGCCTGTGTGTGCAAGGCCCCTAGTCTGTGGCCTGTGTGTGCGAGGCCCCTAGTCTGTGGCCTGTGTGTGTGTGAGGCCCCTAGTCTGCGGCCTGTGTGCGTGCGAGGCCCCTAGTCTGCGGCCTGTGTGTGTGCGAGGCCCCTAGTCTGCGGCCTGTGTGTGTGCGAGGCCCCTAGTCTGTGGCCTGTGTGTGTGCGAGGCCCGGTCTGCAGCCTGTGTGTGCGAGGCCCCTAGTCTGTGGCCTGTGTGTGTGCAAGGCCCCTAGTCTGCGGCCTGTGTGTGTGCGAGGCCCCTAGTCTGTGGCCTGTGTGTGCGAGGCCCCTAGTCTGTGGCCTGTGTGTGCGAGGCCCCTAGTCTGTGGCCTGTGTGTGTGCGAGGCCCCTAGTCTGTGGCCTGTGTGCGTGCAAGGCCCCTAGTCTGCGGCCTGTGTGTGTGCAAGGCCCCTAGTCTGTGGCCTGTGTGTGTGCGAGGCCCGGTCTGCAGCCTGTGTGTGCGAGGCCCCTAGTCTGTGGCCTGTGTGTGCGAGGCCCCTAGTCTGTGGCCTGTGTGTGCGAGGCCCCTAGTCTGTGGCCTGTGTGTGTGCAAGGCCCCTAGTCTGTGGCCTGTGTGTGTGCAAGGCCCCTAGTCTGTGGCCTGTGTGCGTGCAAGGCCCCTAGTCTTCGGCCTGTGTGTGTGCAAGGCCCCTAGTCTGCAGCCTGTGTGTGTGAGAGGCCCCTAGTCTGCAGCCTGTGTGCGTGCGAGGCCCCTAGTCTGCGGCCTGTGTGTGTGTGCGAGGCCCCTAGTCTGCAGCCTGTGTGTGTGCGAGGCCCCGTCTGCGGCCTGTGTGTGTGTGTGTGTGTGCGTGTGCGGGGCCTCTGGTCCTCAGCCCGGGCACAGCTCCTCTGCAGCTCCCCATCCTCTAGGTGGGACCAGATGTGACTGCCCTCCCTTCTCCCACAGCACAGCGCCTCCTGCGGCCGGCCTGGCAGACCCGGGATTGTAAAGTCCTGCCAACAACCCTCACACCTAGAGACAGGCTTCTCCGTCCTGAGCTACTCTGTTGACCCAGGGATCACTCCACTGTGTGCTTAGTAAAGATGAGCAAGCCCAGCCCTTCAAAGGGAACTCACAGCTTACTTTTGAAGTGTGAACCCAAGAACTCTAGTGTGCAAGAAGATATTTTAATTTCTCCTAACTTTAATGTGTATCAACCTAAGTTCCTTTCCCAGACAGCCATCAGGAAATGTCTTCACTATGTTACGGGGCAGGGGAGGGGAGAGACATTTTTTTTTTCAGGCAGTGTGAAATGCAAAAAGCTGAGCCACTGGCAGTGAAAGAGGAGTTTCTTGATGGGCTTTGAACAAAGTAAAAATGTCTTCCAAAATGCCCCCCACTGAAGCTCAGTGTCCTCAAGGGAGTGCCTCTGCTGCTTTCCATCTCACCTTTGACCTTTAAGAACCTTTGACCAGCTAGGAGCTACTGGTACAGGGCGCCACTCACCCAACCCCTTTGGCACCTACAACCCACTTTGAAAATGTTTTCTCAACAGCTCTCTTTTAAAAACTGAATACTACTGCTTAGTTGCTATCCAGCCATGCTGTGCTTACGGTTCTGAGAAGTGCGTTAGGTATTGTAGTCACGTGGGCACCACAGAATGAACTTACAGTAACTAGAGTGGCTAAGACGTCACTAGGTGATCAGATCTCATGGGACTGTCATCATGTATGTGGTTTGTCTTTGATGGAAATGTCACATGTATGATACCACATGACTGACTCAGTCAGGGTTCTTTGTGACGAACAATCTAATATACTCTGGTTAGTTTAACAAACTATGTCACTCATTGGAAAGAACTAAAAATAGACCATTTTCAGGGGCTCAGTGGTAGAGCACTTGCCTTGCATGCATGAGGCCCTGGGTTCGATTCCTCAGCACCACCTACGCAGAAAAGGCCGGAAGTGGCACTGTGGCTCAAGTGCTAGCCTTGAGCTGAAGAGCTGAGGGACAGCGCCCAGGCCAAGAGTTCAGGCCCGCAACCCACCCCAAAAAAATAATAATAATTCAAAATAAGCTTCTAGGACTGGGTTGCACAGTCAGAGGTGAAGGCAGGCCCAGGAGCACGGTGTCAGCCACAGTCAGAAGCTGCTGAGTCAGAGACTGGCCCTGTAAGCCAGGGTGTCGCCCAATGGCTGCCGCTCTCTGCCTCTACCACACCCTCGCAAACAAAACACACGCCAGCCCGCCACGCTCCCTCCGTTCCCGGCCTGAGCACATGCAAGAGTGAAGCATCTTCAGGAGCTTCACCTGATAGCAGCTCAGCTTTGTGTAGCTCAAATGCGAGAATACACCATGGTGTGCGTTATTTTTGTACGCATGGCTGTGGGTTTTCTTTTGTTTTCTAGAAATTCTGAGTTCTTTGGAGTACTCTGGGTAAAAGGCGGCGACCGCGTGAAGCGTTTGGTAAAGCAGAGCAGTCTCTCAGTGTGTTTGTTTGCACAGGAGGCATCGTTGTCCACAAGGAGCCACAAGGAGCTATGACAGTGCTGGCGCATTTCACCCCACAACCGAGTATCTGGAAAAGTACCCTACACATGGCAATGTTCTTCCTCCTCCAAGTCTTAAACCCAAGCAACAATTTCAAGCATACCGTGCTAAAATGGAAGGAGTAACTACATTTAAGTAAATATTGAGCAACGATTTTGCTTTACTTTTCTCTCAACTCTCGGGTCTTAATAAAGTTTTCTTACTATTTAAATTTAGCTATTTAGTTGATTTAAGATGAAATAATCCAAGAAGCAAGAAACTAGTTAAATCACAACTTGAGGGGAAAAAAAAAGAAAAATGACAAGTCAAGCTGCCAAAAACAGAAGGGAGTTAAAATTTTGTATTGATTTTTTTAACCTCCTAAAATCTCTCTTCTTTGTGGACTTTCTAATGTCACCAACACCTGAAGGATTGTGGGAGTTCCTGAACTGCTATGTCTGTGTCTCCTCTACTCTTTGCATCTCTGATCTGTTTTCTGTCTTCTGGCATGTCATGGGCTTAACGTTATCAAGATGAGAGAAATGAGCTAACACCTGAAGGGATTGAGCAGTTAGCTGGACTGCGGAGGTGGAGGCACATTCCAGAAGCATAGTGTGTAGCAGGAAGGAGCGCAGAGCACTGGAAGTCCTCAGAGGAGGGGAAGCCCCGAGAACCGAGGCTGGTGACGGGGCCCAGGCCGGGCTCTGGCCGTGTTGGGTTTTGTCTGCATCCCTGCAATGTCTCCCCGACCCTCTGAAGGTCTGCCATCTACCTTGGGCCCAGGGTGCTATATAAGACCAGGGTGGATTATGTGTCTGTGAGAGCCGAGTGCGGAAGACTCACACCCTGAAGGCCAGAGTCACAGATCATTTTACCAGGAGCACCCAGAGAGTATGCTAAGTTGTCTTAGGAACCATAAACAAGGGTGTAAGGAGAGTATAACTTTGCAGGTTCATTAAACTGTTCACTGGAAGTTTCCTTATATGCTAGAAAAAAATTCAGGAGCTTTAGAATTCTATTTACTTAGCATCCAATTAGCTGATTCTGTTTCAGTGCTCTAGAAAGTTCACTAGATAGGTATAAACAAATTTAAATTCTTCTTTCAAATTATCAAGTATGATCATTTTACTTCTAAGGTAAGAAAAGCCTTTGAAATTTTCAATACCAAAGTCATTGAAATAAAAGAACTTGTGAGGCTATGTTCCAAATGTGTAAATATTGCAGGTCAGACTACCGCCCTTATGAAGTGATCCAGCCACCTCGCCACATCCGAGAAGAATATAAGCCAAAGCAGGGGAAGATTGATTTTGGTACTACCTACAAACGAGATTTTAATTCTTACACAGTGCAGCCTGTGGTAATAGTCCGGCCTTTGGAAAGAAAACAACTTAAAAAGGGAAAGTTGGATACTGTCCCAACCTATAAAGGTAATTTACCATTTCAAAATGGAGCCAAAGTCCTAAAACTTCCAGATTTAAGAGCAAATGGTAATTTTGGTGAATTGCCATACTTAGCCACCATAGTATCGGAAAATCCTTTCCTCTCTTTGGTCAAAGTGGTATTGTATAGCAAAATCGCAAATCAACCAACCAAGCGCCATCCCGGGCAGAACTGTTAAGAGACCAGGCTCTTCTCCCTGTGAGCTGGGCTGATGATGCCTTGACTGTGTTAGCTTAGTTGCTCCCCCTTTCTTCCCATCCTAGCATGAGTTGACACTGAGATTTTGAAGTCTTTGAAAAGGTTAAATGAGTAGCAATTCTTCAAGTTCCAACCCAATCTATATAGTTAGGAGACAGGACACAAAACCTTACTTGTTCATGGATGAAGAGAAGCGTGAAGGGAAGCATCCGTCTTTAAGCAGATGATTCTTGAGACAGAGTCTCGGAATGTTTACCTATCCTGAAGGGACGGTGCTTGCTAACCATAGAGGACTCCAGCCCAGGCAGCATGGGGTTACTTTTCCGCTGCTAACTGGCTTGGAGGAATAGCATCTGACAATGAACGACCAGGTTCTACAAAGAACCTATCTGATGATGGCTTGTGGGAGATAGAGGTCTTCGTTTAAAAATTAGGCTATTTTGATAATAGATACTATTCTATATTTTTGTTTATAGACAATGTAATTGCATATCTGAAAGAAACGTCCTGATATTAAGTGTCCTAGCATCAGACCTTTTTGTGAGAGTGGTGCCTTGCCAGCCAGAGTCATGATGCATGCTTTAATTACACAGTAGCTACAAGCACAGCTTTTAACTTCTGCAGGTACCAGCCCAGCACTCCGCACTGTGGTTTATAAACTCTCCAGCGTGCTGCCTGAGTTTAAAGCTGTGTGTGGTAAAGGGACACGCTGTGGAGAACGATTGGGCGTGTGGCACTTGGCTGCTGAGATCCAGGTGCACTCACGCGTAGCACGCGAGCTCCCCAGAAAGGGAGGAGATCAGAGAGCTGCTGCTGCTGCTGTAGAGGCTTGGAGGAGGGCATGGTCGGTATTCTACAAAAGACAAGAAGCTCCAGAACAAAGCAGTAATCCACTGAAGTAGAAGCAGTGATCTGTCATCCCCAGTGAGAAACTGACTTACAGCTCAGGGAGAGGAAAAATGAGCCAAAGGAACAGGAGGTTGGCCGGGAACTAGCCATAGCTGACTCTTGAGTATCTGCTGATACCTGCTAAATCAAGAGAAGAGACCGAGCGCTGGAAAGCTCTGCCTCTGGGGCCCAAGACTGAAGCTGGGCCAATGCGGTTACCCAACACGCACACTGAACACCACGCCACACAGCACCACATAACAAGCACTTGCTGTCTGCTCTCAGGAAGAGGGGTGGTCTCTGAGTGGGGATGTAAAGAGAAAGCCTGGAGAGGAGTCTAGAGCAGACACCAAGAAACGCCTCCAGCAGACCAGTCTCCAGCTGAGCACAAGACAACGCCAAAGGAAAGAGGTGGAAGGTGCCATAGCAACAACAAAACCCAGACAGCCTACCACAATTGGACTGACTCAGCTGCCAATCACTGGAGACCTGTGTGTGCATATCATTATCTGTGCTACCCATGATGCCTAGCTTTCAAATGATAATTATACAAAGAAGAAGGAAATAGAAGGACTGCCAGGAGACAGATAACTGGTTGATGAGTGACCCAGATACTGGATCTGGTTAAAAATCATGACTAACATTAAAAGTTGTCATGGAAAAGGTGGAAAACTTAATGGACAGATGGAAAGTTTTAACAGATGGAAACTATAAAAGTGAAATGGAAATAGCTAGAGTTAAAAAAAAAAAAAGATATAGTCGGGCTGGGAAGGTGGCTCAGTGGTAGAGCACTTGCTTTGCATGCATAAGGCCCTGGGTTCGATTCCTCAGCACCACATAAGCAGGGAAAAAAAGCTGGAAGTGGTGCTGTGGCTCAAGTGGTAGAGCGCTAGCCTTGAGCTGAAGAGCTGAGGGACAGTGCCCAGGCCCAGAGTTCAGGCCTCACGACCAGACCCCCCCCCCCCCAAAAAAAAAAGATACAATCAAAATGAAGAATGTCTTTTGTGGCCAGTTGTGATACATGCCTAAAATCCCAACTACTTGGCAGATGGCGGTAGGACAGTGGTTCAAAGATAGCCCTGGCTAACTTAGCTAAAGACCCTATGTGGAAAGCACTGTGTGTGATGCATGGGTAGAACCAACATGAGTCCTTGCATTCAGTTCTCAGTGATGTGTGTGAGAGAAAGGGAGGGGGGGGGGGACTGAGTCGTCAAACAACACAGGGTCTGGTGGGGAATCTGGACGTGGGACATATCAATGCACTTACCTAAAGCAGAATATAAGGAGAGAAAATGCAGGTTTTGAGCACCTGAAGCAGAGACACTTTTAAATGAGCCAAATGTGAACACGTTTGCAGCATTGTCTGAAGACCTCATAGAAGGAATTTTCCAAAACCAGTGAATGACATCAGAGTTCAGGTCCAGGAAGGTTAGAGAGCTAAAGCAGAATAAATTGGTAAGAAGAAGAAAATGTCACTTGGGAAGGAAAAGATGACAAAATCCTTAAAGCAGCTGGAGGAACTAAAAGAATCACTATGAGGAACCCACACACGTCTGTAAATCCTAGTGACTCCAGAGTCCGAGATTTGAAGATTTTGATTCAAAGCCAGTCCTGGAAGGAAAATCCATGAAATTCCTATGTCCAGCCAGCAAAAACACAGAAGTGGAGGTGTGGCTCAAGTAGTAAGGCACCAGCTGCTGAGTAAGAGCTTGAAGCACTGAGTTCAAGGCCTAGTATGCATACTAGAAGAAAAATGCTGAGGGTCAATGGCAGGACAACAAAATTGCCTAAAATATTGGAAGCCTACAGGACCGAAAGACACGGGTTAACTTGTACTATCCCAGAAAGAGCAGCACCTCTGTCTCACCTCCTCCAGAAAAGCACTGAGGCATTTGAAGGTAGACCGATGACTGACAAAGACCGCTGAAAAGAGGGAAAGCAGGCCACGTCCTGCGGACCGAGTCCAGCGCCTCTTCCTGAATGAAGTCTTGCACGCGGCTGCTCCTTTATGCCTCACCTGTGGCTTCCGAGGGTTGAGACACAGACTGTGTGACTCAAACCCTCGGCCTCCTACCTGGCAACCACTGAGGACACGGAAGGACAGCAGCTGACAAGACAGAAGCCCTTACTAGCAAGTGCTGTCAGCCCGTCCCTGCCTCACAGGCTTCCTTTAAATCGCAGTGGCTTGGTCAGGGGAAAACATTCTGTTCACTCACGGAACACTGTTTCCTGCGAGCCGCTTTATGAGCAAGGGCCTTCAATAACATCCCTGACTCCCTCTCAAAGTGGTGTCACGGTTTTCCTATCTGTAAAGAGTAGCAAAGCTCCCTGGGAAACAGACGCCAGCTGATGGGGGAGGGGGGGGGAGGGGAGGTGTGGAAGGGGAACGGGGGGGGGGGGGGGGCAGGAGGGGGGGTGCCTCTTCTCCACTGGGTGCCTGACTTCCGGGTACTCTCTCGGCACCCTCCTATGGCCACTCTGCCAAGTGGCCCCTCTGCGCGCTGGGCCTCCTTCCGGCCTGCCTGGAGCGCACCCTCTGCAACTCTGTAAGCTCTCCAGCTCGGCCACAGCAGCTCTAGCCTCTTCTTCCACCTGGCTCCCGGCCCTCCATCCTTGCCAGCCTGCTTGGTATCACTGGTAATCCTCAGGCTCTACCCTGGCTCATGCGTCCTCTCCCAAGTGCCAGCATCTTAGCCCGTCACCCAGATCCTGGTGGAAACACCAAGGATGAGGGACTTTTCTTTTTAAAAGAAGACTCTACTCCAGTAGACATCACATGGACCTCAGCCCATGTTCTAATACGTCATCCACGTCAGGGAACACGTTTTTATTTTAAGCCCAGGATGTCCAGGCTCCCCTTATCATTTTATGAGTTATACTTAAAATCCTAGCCAGTTTGTGGAGATGTGACTGAGTTCCTGCACAGTCCCACCTGAACGCGACTTCCACTAACTATCCACAATCTGTGTAATCAGAGAAGCTGGAGCTGGGGTTACTGCGCAGAAGTGGGTGAAGGGGCAGAGGCAGGTGGAGATGAAGGGGAAAAGGAACGAATGCAAAGGGAGACCGGAAATTCTGTACCGATGCTCGAGTTTAGATTTCCAGGGGAAATGAGATGCTTGACAAAGAACCGACATGGTTCTTAGAAGATGTAAAGGTGCTTTGTTGTTTGCTTTGTTTTTCAAGATGACTATAGACCTTGGAACCTTCAGAAACGTGAACTCTGCAAGCAGGAGCACACCTACCATCCCCCGACAGTGAGGTTTGGGAACGCAACCACGTTCCAGGATGACTTCGTGCCCCATCAGCTGGCGGTCAGGTCGGCCAGGAGGAAGGGGCCGCCCGGGTCCCCGGAGGAGGCTCGCCGTGGCTGCAGGCCCGTGGGGGCAGCACGGCGGGGCCCCAGCCCCTTCCAGGGCTCCACCGTCTACTCGGTGGACTTCACCCCAAAGCAACGCAAAGTCTGCCCCGCCAGCGGCCCTTTTCCCAGTGGCTACAAGTTTGAAACCACAAACTCCCAAGGTCACCGGCTCTTCCGCAAGGTCACCGGGTAGGGAAGTCAGGGGTCCACTTAGAGAGGCCCAGGGGCCCAGTTTTTATAGTGTAGAAGATACTATGAGAGACACAACAAACCACTTTGAGATGTTTAAACCAATTGGGAAATGTACTATAGGAAATCAGAATCCTAAAAATCCACATGAACTCCTGTCTCAGCCAAGATTGCCCCCCCCAGAATTCCTGCTGGGGGGTGAGCGCAGTCCATGGCTGCTGCTCACGGCCCACAGCCACTGCTGCCGCAGGGTGGTCACTGGTCCCAGGAGGACAGCTGCCTGCCCTTCCCACTGACCCACACAGCCACTCACACAAGACAACACCGAGCGGCACTGAAAGAGGATTCCTCTTCCAAGAAAACAGGACTCCCTCTCCTCTAGCTTCAAGGCTGGCCCAGCGCCCACCAAGCCAAGGTTGTCACTGTCAGTGCACACACTGCTCCTCAAGTTAGACAGGCTTTGTGGTGTGGCAGGGCTCGGCTCTCGAGAGCCGGGGGTCAGGACTCGAGCTCACGTTCTCATCCATTACTTTGAGTCTGTGCCGCCTGAGTCCCGTGGTCCTGTCTCTGAGCTGTGCCTCACTTGTAAAAGCAGATTATCCTCGGCCCACCTCACAGACTCAGTTCGATGTCTTAATCCATCAAGTGAAAGTGCAGATGAAAGGACTGCGTTTGCCGTTTCAACCTGACCCCGTCGGCAGTTTGCTCTGAGCTTATGAGTAGTCTGGATGTGTGAGGGAAGCCTGGCCTCCCGCACTTCACAAACACCCCGCATGGCCGCAGAGAAGGCGGAGCTGGGACGGTGGGAGCGCGGCGGTGCGGGTGGAGTGTTCACTGCAGTCACTGCGGCGGGCACCCCGGGGCCGCCCTGCATGTCTACCCACAGCCCCGGGGCCCCAGGATGGGCCCTGCCACCCCCACCACCTCTGCAGGAAGCCCTCCAGGGAGGAAGGTAGCAATGCTGAAAAGTTCCTAGTAAAGAAAACTGTCATCGGGTGTTTGTTTTAAATCGGTGATTGCACAAAGTGAATCTTAGCCTTTTATGATTTCAGAATTATTTCAAAATACACTTAAGAATAAATTTATACTTGCTTAAATATTTCTAATTATTTGAAAGTAATTTGCTCTTTCATTAGTGAAAAGCACAAATATGAAATTTTATATTTCCGTGTGGCGATAAGTGAATGGACTGTAATGAAATCATTTCTGTATCGAGTTTTCTTCAGAAAAAAAAGCACGTGAATAAATTCCTATGTTGGTTAAAGCTATACTTCAGTAGGTAGTCTCTGAATAGAAAGCCTTACGGTGTAATCACACGGACAGCTGGGTAACATCACCGCTCTCTCGCCAGGCCCGCCTTCCATAACACAGTGGGGCACCCTAACCACGACATGCCCTGGGGTTTCCTGGAGCACCGTGCCACAGCTGAAGACACAAGTATGCCCTACCGTCTGGCTCCACATTAAGTAGGGGTGAGAGCAGAGGCAGGGGCACATAAGGCTTGAGACACTTCACCCGCCATTCCGTAAGTCCTCCTAAGGAGATGAGCCACAGCTGAATCTTGAGAGGGAAGCGGGAGCTTTCCAGATCAGGACACGTGGGCAGGGCCGGTGTGACCTCAGGACTGACCTCCAGGGCAGCCGTGTGCACGGCCAGCAGCCCCCCTCCCCCTCCGCATCTCCTTCAGACACCACACCAGAACACACCGCCTTCTAACAGCACTGGAAACCAACGGCGCTTACCAGTCTGCCCCACGCTAGAAGGGGCAGTACACGCTCCTGAATGAATCTGATGAAAAGAGGACAATTCAGAGAGAAAAGTTAGTAGGAAGTTTTCATCCCCACCATGTCCCATTTCTACCCATTCTCCTTGCATAGTCTTGTTGAGGAATTGGGAATTAGAAACAATGGCTGCGTGGCTTGATCGGCGACACACTGGCTGCAGAGAACCCACCTCAGCTATGGACTTTGAGTGGCAGTGTGTGGGCATCACTGTCTGTTAGAGATGTCCCTTCTGCCGAGGCTGTTGACAGAGGCAGCTGTGTGTGGGTCCACTGGGTTGGTGGGAAGTCTCCCTCAAGTTTTGCTATCAACCCTAAACTGGCCTACACAAATTAATAAATAAGCCTAATTTAAAATTAAAGAAGGACTTCCACGGCAGGAAGAATGGAGGGGAGCGTTCACCATTAGAGGTTGGGAGCCCACACAACAGCGGACTTGTCAAGTTCACAGCTTTCCTTCCTGAAATTCAGCCTAGAAACGGACGTAAACCTCATGAGCCAGGAGGCCGAGGAAGTGTGAGGAGATGCTTTTCAAGCACAGTGTCCAGTAAACCAGCAGATCCTTTGATCCTGTTCTCGCTGTAGCCCCTGTCCGCTCAGTGCCGCCTCCCAGAAAGGCAGCTCCCACCCCCCGTCCGCACCAACTCTCCACAACCCAAGGGAGGGACAGAGTCGGAGAACCGACACCACCACACCGAGACTTACTACAGCGGCAACCGTCCAGACAGTGTGGTATCAGCGAAAGGGTTGATCAGTGGAACAGCATCGGTCACCTGGAAGTAGATCTACAAAACCGAGTCACCTGTCAGGGAAAAAGAGCAAAACCAACGTAATGGAGCTCAGGGACAGCACCCAGGCCTAGAGTTCAAACCCCATATCCAACAACAACAAAAAGGACTCACAGGGTGTGCAGCACAGAGAGAATCCTCAGGAAAAGGACAGGTCCTGGATCATCATAAAGCACCGATGCGGGTTAATTGCTTGTAACAGACACACAACTCTGTAGGGCATGTAGTTAATGGAGAGAGAAACACATTGAAGAAAGGTGCAATCTACCTACACATCTTGTAAAAATTCCTCTGCCTTCTGCACAATTCTGCTGTGAAGCCAAAACTGCTCTAAAAATGTCTTCAAAAACAGATAAATACATTACAGACTAAAGTGTATTAGTACCTCCTCAACGCTCATTTGTTTCTACACTGTTGAAGACAGCCATTTGGGGCTCAATCTACTCTTCTGCAGCTGACACTCTTTTAATATGACCTATAAGATTCACACAGTTGGGATGAGGGAATTAGAGCCGAACGCTGTGCCGTGTCCCCTACACCTTGAAGCCCACCCTCTAAAGGATGGTACAGAGTGCTGAGCTCACCGAGGCTGCGGCCGGCCAGCAAGGCGTGGCTGAGGGGGCCGTGCCCAAGGGGACCCGAAGCACTTAGAAGGTGCCACTGCATAAATAAAGGAAGTTTATTGCTGAGTTTCTTAAGGATCATAAGCAACAACTCTCATAAAAACAGTAGTAAAACACAGTACACAGGAATGTCCGCGGAAGGATAATAAAAGCATCCTAGCAAATGAACCTTAGCTACAAAGGCAAAGCAATGCAGCAAGAAATGCTGTTGGTAATAAAAATATATGTTCCATGTGTTTATTACATATTGTACAAAATAAAATATTGCACCTTTAAGTCACAGAAATATTTACAGGGTATCTTACACACAATCTTCCCTTTGAGTACCTTCATCAGTCTGCTGTGGTGGGTGACTGCCCACCCCTGAGCTGTGTCCTCCCCACTGCCCCCCCTCCACTCCCAGCCGCTGGCCCTCCCCTCGCGGTGGCGTCTGTCCCAGTGTCCGTGCGGCTGAGGTGAGAATGGAAGAGGCCTGTGTCCAGAACACAGACAAACCCACAGCCAAGCCGCCCTGCACGTGTCTTACGGATGAGGAGCAAGGCCCGGCGGCCTGCCGGCCTACAGACAGCTCTCGAGGACACTGAAGGAGAAGCTGCTGCTGATCGGGCCCTCGAACGTCCCGACGGGCCGAGCGCCAGCAAAGTTCCCACAACCACGTCGGCTTCAGAACTCGCCTCCCAAAGCGAACCAGCAGCAAGCTGACCAGAGGTACCTCTGCCCTTCCCTCTGTCAACACCAGCCCCGGCCTAGTCGAAACCTAGACCCACCGAATCCTACCCTAAAGCCAACCCTGGCCTTAACTCACCCCAATCCCAACTCTAAAACAAACCTTTAGCCCTTTTGCTCTAAAGCCTAACCCCATCCTAAAAGTATAACTTAACTCTTAGTTGTATAACTTCCAGTCAACCCTAATTCACTTTGGATTTCCTGGAAAGATCAGCTCAAATTAAAACAAATATTTGCTATAAACAAGTTTTTCCAACTATGTTTCCTATTTAATTTATTATATACTTTGCAAAATAAAAATCCTCAGGAATACTATTTTATGCATAAATTAGGTCTAATAAGGCTTTGTTTTAGTGCTTAGAAAAACATTCCATTCACAGCTAAAAGGAAAGCTTTGAGCACACTACAGAACCAGTGGAGAAGCTACCGTGTGCTCTCTGACTTCCACGACGGGCCGAGCCCCAGCTGCTCCGTCTCCCCCCACGGACGCCCCGGGGTCAGGACACCATGCCCTGCACACCACCTGCCCGGGAGACCCTCTCTCCTTCACAGCTAAATGTAAGGATCTGTGAGAGAAAAAAGTCACTAGTGCCAACATCCAAAAAGAGACTGGCCAGAGCTTTAAATCTTAAATGCCGTTAAACGTGTTGAAACTACAGTTTAAGAGAAGAGGGCGCGGCCGCTCGCTGTTTCCCAAGTCTTCAGGGTGGATGACTGCCAGTCCACAGGTCGCAGCAGGCCCTGCTCTGCTTAGGGCCCTGGCAGTCTCTGATCACACAGACTTGCTGAGGGGCCAAATGCATGGCCACACCTGCCGTGATTTCTTTTTAACTCATCCAGGAACCTGTCACTTACAAGGACTGAGTTCAGAACTGATGGTGGGAAATGTTCACCCAATCTCAACCTTGCTGTTTTCACATCGGCCTCAGCATGGCGTCTCTAGGAGGGGAAGACTGCTTTCCTACCCTCGGAGCCTCACCGCTGCACCGCCAGAGGCCTAGCCTTCTCGGTGCGGCTGGCAGCAGCTCTGTTTGTAGAGGTCCAGAGAACGCAGATGCAGGCGCCTCAGGAGCCGGCAGTACTGAGTTGTGTCTGTGCAGTTTCCTGTGAAAACAGGAGGAGCACAGTGCGGGGGTCACTGGAAATCTAGGAAATGATTTGATTTTCTGGAAGTGTATAAACTGAGGTCACAGCGTGAGCAGCCAGCCGGCGCTGGCTCGGGCTCTCGACCGCTGCTGCGCCCTGGAGTCGGAGGTGCATGGGGCTCCCTTCTCCCTCAACCAGGCGCTGGCTGGCGTGGGGGGCCCTCCCCGCCCCGGGCCTGGCGCCGCCGCTTGGAGCGCTCAGCTTCCGCCAGCCCCCAGACCCCCACAGCACCGCTGCCTAGAGAGCAACCTGCACGAAGCCTGACTCAATTTCAGGACACCCGCTGGCCTGCAGGCCATGAGGTCAGCTCCACGTTGGCGGAGGGGACAGCGGGGCAGGAGGGAGAGGGTGGGGAGCCCGTGGGTGCGAGAGTTCACCGGAAAGCCTCCCCGCGCCTCTGCCTCTCAGACCACGCTGCCTCCACAGAGGGCCAGGCCACGTCCACCCGCGACAGCCCCTCCCAGGGTGCGGGGGGGGGGGGGGGGGAGGGAAGGGGGAGGGCTGGTACGCACCCCCGCAGGCAGGCCCCAGGCAGGGCCTCTGGGAGGGCGGCCTGCGTGTCCGCGCACAGTGACTCTCGGCCACGGGTCGGCAGGTCTGGGCGTGGACGCAGTGGACTTCCCGAGGCTGGACGCCCGGGCCGCAGGCTGCCGTGCAGGGCTTCCAGGGGCCGGGGAGCCAGCAGGCCTGGCAGGCCCCCGCCGCGCAGCTCCCCCGCCAGGGCTGTCTGGAAGGGACACAGGAGTAGGGGACCGAGTCACCGCGGGACAGAGCGTGGGTGAAGCTTAGCCAAGGGGCCAAGGTAAACTGGAGGAGGCGGGGTGAGGGGGGCCTGGGGGTCCCCAGGGAGCCACACACGCCCCTCCCGGCCTCGCCCCTCCCGGCCGCACCCCCGCAAAGCCTGGAGAAGGGCGGGACGTCCCACGGGGGGGCAGAGGTACTAGGTTTCCACTCCACACCCGTTTTCTGCCACACCCTCTAGAACGGCGGTGACAGCCCTCCGCTGGGCCGCCCGCCCTCTCCGCTGAGCTCTGACCACGCCGCGGCCAGCTAACTGAGTTCCTGCTTGCTTTCAGCTCCAGGGGTGGGACCAAGGCAAACACTGACTGTCCCCAGGTGCTGGGGCTGTGGTGACCACCAGCAGCCATTTCAAGTTTGCTGACAAGCCCTGGGTTTTCTGTTCTTAAGCCCCTGAGGCACATGCTGGTAGGAACAGGGATGGACGCAAGGCCGTCTTATCCGCACAGAACGGTGGATTTACCCTATTCACCTTTAGGCCACTTCCAGCCTTTACAAAAATGCATTCAGACCCTTTATTTCCAAGTAGAGCCTCCCTCTGGCTCCTCCGGCCTTTCAGCCAGAATGGAAATTCAGTGTTCTGATTTGCGCGGTGGTGTCCGCCCTGGAGGGTAGTGCCACCTTTGTGGACACAGGGCCCCTGCCAGGGAGGATGACTGAGGTGGCCCGAGCCGTGTCTCGCAGCCGGATACCTGCTCCCCACGACCTGCCCTGGGAGGGGTTTAAAACTACCAAACAATTCAAGCAGACATACACGGAGTGACAGGGCAAAAACCCAGAACACAAAGACCTCCCATGTTTCTGCTTACAGCCCTTCAGAGGCCCACTACATTCCCCCTCGGATTCTTCGAAGCATTGTGGTGGCCCTGTGGGCGTGCGTAAACCAACAGGGAGCGTTCACACACACCGAGACCACGGTGATAACCTGTCCTGCTCATGCGGTGGACGCAGTACTACAGCTGGCCTCCAGGGGGAGACTCCATCAAAGGGTTTCCGCTCGCAAGCCTTCTGAGGGGCGGAGGGAGGGGGAGGACAGAGACAAATAAAGCCTTGCACCAGAAATCAGGCAACACACGTGGAGCGCCTGGAGAGGACTGCGGCCCCCAGGCCAAACCCGCGTCCTCGGGGGAGTTTCCTCTTTTTCCCAGCCGAAGGGATCTGAACCCACACGGCCACTTCTGCTGGAGGCCAAGCAGTCAAAGATGGCAGACAGGGGAACACCTGTCTTTCCTCAGTGCTAGCCGGTCCCCTCCGGGTGCCTGTTTCACACTCAAATACCTGTGCTAGGGCTACAGTCGCTCACGTATTCTAGTGAGGAGCGCGCTGACGCGCGCCATGGGCTTTTCCATCATGGGAGGCCGCAGGCGCGGGAGGGATCCCTCCCTGTGCTGCCCTGCGGAGGCCGTACCTCTTCCTGGAGTCGCAGTCGGGCCCCGGGCCGCTGCGGGGGCCACACGCAGGACGGCGCGGCTGCCCCCGGCCGGCGCGGCCCGTGCAGCGGGCAGGACACTAGGAGGAAGCACAGGTGAGTGTGAGCTGGGCTTGCACTGGGGGGGGGGGGGGTGCTCAGGCAGGGCCTGCAGTCCACAGACGCTCAGGCTGTGAACGGAGCTTCGCGCTTGCACTGGGGGGAGGGGGGGGGGCGTGCTCAGGCAGGGCCTGCAGTCCACAGACGCTCAGGCTGTGAACGGAGCTTCACGCTTGCACTGGGGCGGGGGGGGGGGCCTCCGGGCAGGGCCTGCAGTCCACAGACGCTCAGGCTGTGAACGGAGCTTCACGCTTGCACTGGGGGGGGGGTGCTCAGGCAGGGCCTGCAGTCCACAGACGCTCAGGCTGTGAACGGAGCTTCACGCTTGCACTGGGGCGGGGGGGGCCTCCGGGCAGGGCCTGCAGTCCACAGACGCTCAGGCTGCGAACGGAGCTTCGCGCTTGCACTGGGGGGGGGGCGTGCTCAGGCAGGGCCTGCAGTCCACAGACGCTCAAGCTGCGAACGGAGCTTCGCGCTTGCACTGGGGGGGGGGGGTGTGCTCAGGCAGGGCCTGCAGTCCACAGACGCTCAGGCTGCGAACGGAGCTTCACACTTGCACTGAGTGGGGAGGGGGGGGGCCTCCGGGCAGGGCCTGCAGTCCACAGACGCTCAGGCTACGAACGGAGCTTCGCGCCCTCCTCAGTCCGGGAAAAACAGCTCGGTTTCCTTAGCAGGTCACACATTTTCAATATTCACCATGCCCACCAAGTTCTCATGTTTGGGACGGCCTTTCTTATCATAATAGTTCTACTTGCACCCAATTACTTTTACAATAAGCTCTTCCGTCGAGTGGGAACTTCTTTTTGGCATAGGTACTGGTTTTATTTTTCTTGTATTTGTCAACTACTCCCATACCATCTCTTTGTGTAGATTGCACTTTCTGTTTTATTGCCAGTCCTGGGGCTTGAACTCAGGGCCTGGGCTGCTTTTGCTCGAGGGTAGCGCTCTACCGCTTGAGCCACAGCACCACTTCTGTTTTTTCTGAGTGTGTGGTGCTGAGGCATGGAACTCGGGCGAGGCGAGCCCTCTACCCTGAGCCCCAGCCCCAGATCTAGATCACACTTGGACTGATCCGTGATTCACGTGCCGAGCAACTCCCCACTTCACACCACAGCACCAGGGTCTGTGGAGTTGCCATAAACACCATGGCCAACCACACGGCTGCCAGCGCTCACACAGCTCCTCTCCCAGTCTCCTCCGGGGCACAATCAACTCTACCTCTGCACCTCCCCGTTCTAGACAGGTGTACGCGGCAGGGTGTGGGCGGGGCCCTGCGTGCCGGCCTTCCCCGGCCCACGCCGGCTGACCTGGCTTCCTGGCGCAGGCGCCTGTCGGTCACATGGGCGGTTAGGACACGGCCTCCTCCCCCGGGGCCGGGCGCTGGAGGCACATGCGTGGCGTGGCGCGGGCTCAACCGTGCCGTCGGCTCTCCTCCTCTTGCAGGTCACCTGCCGGCTGTGGAAGCCGCGGCCACACGGCACCGAGCACGCTGACCACGCGCTGGTGAACCACCTGGGAAGGAAGGACGGCACTGTGGTGAGGCCCCTCCACCAGGCCTTCCTTCGGGTCGCTTGTGAGAAGGGGCCCACCCCGTCTCAGCACAGAAACCGGTGCCTGTGTGTCCTCTTCCGTAGGCGGCCGAGCTAGCCGGTGGCCATGCAGGAGAGCCACGTGCTTCAAGTCGCTGCCCAGCCCAGGAGGCAGGGCTAGACACCATGGAGGGCCAGTCGTAATCCAGTTCACGGAACACAACCAGGGACGCACTTCCGAGCGTCTGTGTGGCCTGCTCCCGTCAGCCACACGCTCGCAGGAAATTAACCACGTTGGCTGAGGTCGTATAACTAAACTGTGAGCAGAGCTGAGACCGGATTCCACCTGAGCCTGGGGCCGTGCTGTAATGAGGGTGGGGGATGGAGCCTGCCGACGGGCTTGTCATTGACAACGTCAATGAGCAGAGGGGCCCCCACCCCCCGGAGGCCCGGCCGGCCAGCCAGCCAGCCAGGGCCACCACGCTCGGCCTCTCACTGACATATACTTCATGCTACCTTCAGTGATTACAAAAAGGCCTATGCCCATGGAGTCATCGCGTGTATCTAATTTTATGTATTTAAAGCCTTGTGGGATAGCGGAAGATGTGGGTAACTGGCCTGTGCCCCAGCGCCGGCCGCCGGCCGCTCCGGGAAGCTCCGTGCCCACCAGTTTGCCCACCCATGAGGCTGGGCAGCAGCAGCCCCCTTGGCGGGATGTGGAACCAAGGCCCGGGTGTGGGCGCAGATGGCGTGGGCCAGGCCCCGTGGCTGTGAGCACAACTTGGAAGCAGGGAGGGAGAGGCTGGTGTACCTGGCCGGGCAGTCCTGGGCGTCACAGGGCTGAAACCCTGCCCGCGGCTTCTGGCGGTGTGCACAGAGGGCCTGGCTCACTTCCTGCCCGCTGGCCCCCACACACCGGGGCCTCTGAATGCGGGCGCCCGGGGGGCCGCAGGCGGTGGGGCAGGGCGTCCAGGGACCAGGCTCCCAAACAGGCTCTGAGGAAGAAGAGACACGTCAGGACACTCCAGACGGGGCTCAGAACCAGGGAGCACACCTGGACATACTAAACTGTTTTATGAAGTAAAGAAATAAACGTGAAAAATGTGCGTTGTCTTTTTTAAAGTCTCGTTCGTGTATAATAAAACGCTTCTATCTCAGCTGTACAGCTTATGAGGTTTCACGATTGTATGATCTTATCAACTACAAACCAAAGTAAGGTATGTAACATACTTCTCGGATCTAGAAAGATTGGTTGATCAGCAACCATGGCTGACTATCAAGTGAACACATATGTGTGCACGCAATAATTAACAGCAGTATTATGTCAAAAAGGACAAGCATAGGAATCCTGTCATGTGATATCAGGTGATGGAATACTGATTGGCAGCTCGGAGTCGTTCCCATCTCCCCTCCGCTCTCCTTTGGACCCCAGGAGGTGAGGGCATAGAAATCACTTCCTGCAACGGACAGGACAGAATGGCATTGTTGTGTGCTCCCTCAGAACGGAGTAAAACGGGCATTCCCAGGGCAGAGTCAGTGTGGTTTCTGTGATCTCCCTGTGTGTGAGCTACAAGGAGCTGTGGTCACCGGGAATGGCTTTGGCGTACCTGGCATGCGAGGCTCTACCTTACTTTTCTGAAGAGTTTCTCAAGCTTGGAGTATTAGGTTAGATTTGCTGCTCCAGCATTGATACGTTAAAAGGCAGACAGGTAGGGGAAGGGTTTCTGGTGGTGGAGGTAGTGGTGGCAGTAGTTGTGGGGCTTAAACCAAGGTCCGTACGCTGTCTCTGAGCGTTTCTGCTCAGGGCTAGCGCTCTGCCACCTTGAGCTACAGCTCCATTTCTGGATTTCCAGCGGTTCACTGCAGAGGAAAGTCTCACATATTTCCTGCCCAGACTGGCTTCAAACCGCAGTCCTCAGATCTCAGCCTCCTGAGTACAGGCATCAGCCATCAAGGCCCAGCTAAGGGAAGTTTTGTTTTAGGCTTTGCAAAAGGGATAAAAATAAAAGAACGGACTCCAGCCTTTCCTCTATTCCCACGTTGCTGATTGGCAACAGTCCTCAAGTGAAGATCAACATCAGCTCGCACCCAGGGCGCGTGCCCTCAGAAGCAGATCGCATCCCCAAAGTGCCTCCGTGGAGGAGGAAGCCCAGACACCGAGGGTGGAGCGTATGGGTGGAGCTGGCCAAACGCTGAGGGATGATTTCACAGCTGCAGAAGGCAGAACTCAGACGGGCCCTTTACAACAGGTCTCACCAACAGGGAATCCCTCCCTCCCTCCCTCCCTCTCTCTCTCACACACCCCCAAATCCCTGACCTTGAGGCAGGGGTCCTGTCGGGTCACTGCTGTTGGGTCCAGGTGTGGAGGCCCAGGGACCTCCCTTCTGATGGTCTTTAGGAGACACAGCATCGCTGCCTGGCCATCTTCGCTCTGAGGAAGCAAGAGAAACATGTGACCAGTTAGCAGCCGCCTCACTCCCGCCTGAGTGTTTCAAAGACAACTCCTGAAAAGCAAATGCTCTCTGACGGAGGGCTGGGGCCCGCGGTCTGTGGTGCTGGCACACCGTGTGGATGGGAGCCAGGCCCTGTGCCCCTGAACCTTCCCAGACTTCTAGTCTGAAAGTGGGATAAGAATCCTCGCCCGCCTTCCGTGAGAAGTCTGGGGAGCCAGACCGGCCAGGGAGAGCTCCCGCTGCCCATCTCCCCCGTTCCCGAGCCCTGTGTCCCCCGTGGGGCCTGGGACGCAGCCCTCGCCCATTCCCCAGCCCCGGGTCCCCCGTTCCCGGGCCCCGGGTCCCCCATGGGGCCTGGGACCCAGCCCTGGCCCATTCCCCAGCCCCGGGTCCCCCGTGGGGCCTGGGACCCAGCCCTGGCCCATTCCCCAGCCCCGGGTCCCCCGTGGGGCCTGGGACCCAGCCCTGGCCCATTCCCCAGCCCCGGGTCCCCCGTGGGGCCTGGGACCCAGCCCTGGCCCATTCCCCTGCCCCGGGTCCCCATGGGGCCTGGGACGCAGCCCTTGCCCATTCCCCAGCCCCGGGTCCCCTGTGGGGCCTGGGACGCAGCCCTCACCCATTCCCCAGCCCCGGGTCCTCCGTGGGGCCCGGGACACAGCCCTCACCCATTCCTGAGCCCCGGGTCCCCCGTGGGGCCTGGGACGCAGCCCTCACCCATTCCCCGGCCCCGGGTCCCCCGTTCCTGGGCCCCGGGTCCCCCGTGGGGCCTGGGACCCAGCCCTGGCCCATTCCCCAGCCCCGGGTCCCCCGTGGGGCCTGGGACACAGCCCTTGCCCATTCCCCAGCCCCGGGTCCTCCGTGGGGCCCGGGACACAGCCCTCACCCATTCCTGAGCCCCGGGTCCCCCGTGGGGCCTGGGACCCAGCCCTGGCCCATTCCCCTGCCCCGGGTCCCCATGGGGCCTGGGACGCAGCCCTTGCCCATTCCCCAGCCCCGGGTCCCCTGTGGGGCCTGGGACGCAGCCCTCACCCATTCCCCAGCCCCGGGTCCTCCGTGGGGCCCGGGACACAGCCCTCACCCATTCCTGAGCCCCGGGTCCCCCGTGGGGCCTGGGACACAGCCCTCACCCATTCCCCGGCCCCAGGTCCCCCGTTCCTGGGCCCCGGGTCCCCCGTGGGGCCTGGGACGCAGCCCTCACCCATTCCCCAGCCCCGGGTCCCCCGTGGGGCCTGGGACACAGCCCTCACCCAGCAGGTGGAGCACAGAGGTAGCCTCTGCCTCGCCCAGGGCGTTGGCGGCTGTGCACACGTAGGTTCCTTCATGTTCAAGCGAGACATTCCGCAACAACAGGGAGCCACGGGGAAGCAAGGAAGCCCTGTCGCCCAGGGGTCCTCCTCTCTTCGACCACGTTACGGCGGGCGGGGGGACTCCTGCAAAACAGCAAACACGACAGAGGTGAGGCCGTTAAGAAGAGCGCCAGAGCCACGAGACGCGCGCCACCCCTGCCGCTCCCGGCAGGGTCACCAGAAGCCTTTGAAACAAATGTGCAATTGCGACCCAGGATTTGCTGAGCTCACACACCGCAACGTGCTACCCAAGGGAAGACACAGGTCCAGAGAAACATGACGTTGTCCCATGATGCTTTCGGGAAATTTCCAGAGACAAAAAGAACTTGTGAGCTTCCAGCTAGGGTCACTGGCAGAGACTGCAGAACAGAGCAGGGGACCAGGAGGGGGCCACGCAGAGCGCCGGCCACTGTTGGTCCATCACCCACGCTGTTCTTGTCACCCACGGGCATCAACAACCGTGTGACTGTCCCCCACACTCCATCACACACTCAACAACAACCGTGTGACTGTCCCCCACACTCCATCACACACTCAACAACAACCATGTGACTGTCCCCCACACTCCATCACACACTCAACAACAACCGTGTGACTGTCCACCACACTCCATCACACACTCAACAACAACCATGTGACTGTCCCCCACACTCCATCACACACTCAACAACAACCATGTGACTGTCCACCACACTCCATCACACACTCAACAACCGTGTGACTGTCCACCACACTCCATCACACACTCAACAACAACCATGTGACTGTCCACCACACTCCATCACACACTCAACAACCGTGTGACTGTCCCCCACACTCCATCACACACTCAACAACCGTGTGACTGTCCCCCACACTCCATCACACACTCAACAACAACCATGTGACTGTCCACCACACTCCATCACACACACGCAACAACCATGTGACTGTCCCCCACACTCCATCACACACTCAACAACAACCGTGTGACTGTCCCCCACACTCCATCACACACTCAACAACCGTGTGACTGTCCCCCACACTCCATCACACACTCAACAACAACCATGTGACTGTCCACCACACTCCATCACACACACGCAACAACCATGTGACTGTCCACCACACTCCATCACACACTCAACAACCGTGTGACTGTCCCCCACACTCCATCACACACTCAACAACAACCATGTGACTGTCCACCACACTCCATCACACACTCAACAACCGTGTGACTGTCCCCCACACTCCATCACACACTCAACAACCATGTGACTGTCCACCACACTCCATCACACACTCAATAACCATGTGACTGTCCACCACACTCCATCACACACACGCAACAACCATGTGACTGTCCCCCACACTCCATCACACACTCAACAACCGTGTGACTGTCCCCCACACTCCATCACACACTCAACAACAACCATGTGACTGTCCACCACACTCCATCACACACTCAACAACAACCGTGTGACTGTCCCCCACACTCCATCACACACTCAACAACCGTGTGACTGTCCCCCACACTCCATCACACACTCAACAACAACCATGTGACTGTCCACCACACTCCATCACACACACGCAACAACCATGTGACTGTCCACCACACTCCATCACACACTCAACAACCGTGTGACTGTCCCCCACACTCCATCACACACTCAACAACAACCATGTGACTGTCCACCACACTCCATCACACACTCAACAACCGTGTGACTGTCCCCCACACTCCATCACACACTCAACAACCATGTGACTGTCCACCACACTCCATCACACACTCAATAACCATGTGACTGTCCACCACACTCCATCACACACACGCAACAACCATGTGACTGTCCCCCACACTCCATCACACACTCAACAACCGTGTGACTGTCCCCCACACTCCATCACACACTCAACAACAACCATGTGACTGTCCACCACACTCCATCACACACTCAACAACCGTGTGACTGTCCACCACACTCCATCACACACTCAACAACAACCATGTGACTGTCCACCACACTCCATCACACACTCAACAACCATGTGACTGTCCACCACACTCCATCACACACTCAACAACAACTGTGTGACTGTCCACCATACTCCATCACACACTCAACAACAGCCGTGTGACTGTCCACCACACTCCATCACACACACTGAACAACAACCATGTGACTGTCCACCACACTCCATCACACACTCAACAACAACCGTGTGACTGTCCACCATACTCCTGTCCATCACCCACACTCAACAACAACACTTGACTGACTGTCTACCAGGCTCAGATAAAGGCCATCTTCCAGTCCAGGTGCAGAGAGGACACTGCAGAGAGCAGAGGGCATCTGGAGTTAAGTGCACACCCTTTTCTCCTCCTTGGTAGTACATAACTACACCTTCAAGATAGGCAGGGCCAACCATCTGCCAACCCACACCCAGAACTCAACATACAGTGAGAAGGACACACAATCTTAGAAATCTGGAACTTTTAGCTTTTAGAAACAGACAAGCTTTTCAGGTTCTATTATTCAATAAGAGTTTTAGAAATGTATTTTAAGTGTAGGTAAAAGTAAAATCACTATTGGCATCTTTATGGGTTATGCAAAATGTATTTGGCTATAACAACAAAAAATTATGAATTTGTCTGAAACATGAATATGAGCTGTGGGGGGGGCCCTAAGAATGGGGAGATGGGAAGGGATGGGAAGGGGAAACAAAGGAGGAGGCAACAATGCTTGATAAGAAATGTACTCATTACCTTGCTCATGTAATTGTAACCCCTCTGTACAGTATTTTCACAATAAAAAACTTACTAATAATTAAAAAATTAAAAAATTAAAAAAAAAGAGGAAAGAAGCACACTACAGGAAAACAACAAAATGGCAAGAAACATGAGCATTTCTCCATCCTAATGTTAAACAGCAACAGCTCAACTCCCCAACCCAAAGACAGAGCAACAAACTGGATCAAAAAACAAAATCCAACTAATTATTGTCCCATATACAAGGAGCTCAAGAAATCAACTCCACCCATAGCTAATAAACCAATCACTAAATGGGCAAGGGAGCCAAAGAGAGACTTCTCAGAAGAAGAGGTAAGAATGGCAAAGAAACACATGGGGAAATGCTCACCATCCTTGGCCATAAAGGAAACGCAAATCAGAACAACTGAGATTCCATCTCATCCCTGTAAGATTAGCCGACATCATGCATTCCAACAACAAATGTTGGTGAGGATGTGGAGGAAAGGAATCTACTGCCCTGCTGGTGGTAATGTAAACTAGTACCACTACTCCAGACAGCAGTCTGGAGGTTCCTCAAAAATCTAAACAGACCTTCCCTACAACCCCGCCACACCACTCCTGGGCATCTACCCTAAGCCTCATGAGCCAGGATAGGACAAGGACCCCTGCACATCCTTATTCACAACAGCCACATTGTGCAAACAGCCCAGATGCCTTACAACAGATTGGATCCAAAACATGTGGAATGTTACACCGCCAGTAGAAAGAATACTATTATGTCATTCGCAGGGAAACGGGCGGAACTAGAACAAATCATGTTAAGTGAGCTCAGCCAAGCTCAGCCAAATGCCACATGTTCTCTCTCAAGTGAAAGCTAGACCTAAAATGCAGCAGGACATAATAAACTACACGGGACTCTAGGCACTCACTCACCGTGAGACCAAAAGAGGGTGTTTGGAGGAGAGGATCACAGAGGACAGTGCCCGTGAGCATCCCACCACATAACACAATATTTATCACAGTAAGCTTCAGGAAATGGAAGCAAGAGGCTGTTTGTGTTCTGTTTGCCCTGTTTGTTCATTTATCTGTCTTTGGGAGGGACAAGGGTGAACAAACGCAGCAGTGGTACTCACTAGATGCAATGGTGAAAATTATACAGCCTGTGGTGGGGGATGAAAGGGGAAAATTGGGAGAAAAGATCTGACCTCTGTGACCGCAACCCCTGTGCACATCACTTTTACAATAACAATAAAGTTAAGTTTATTATCATTAGTGGAAAGGTTTTTAAATTATACACACCACTGATTTTCACTGATGTTCAGAAGGTGGCATCTGCCCTTGTGAGTGTGTGGCAGGTGCTTGTCTATGAAGTGAGGCCTGGGCAGAGGGCCCAAGACCCTCCCTGTGTCCCATAACCCAGACCCTCCCTGCGCCCTGCACCCCAGACCTCCCTGCGCCCCAGACCTCACTGCGCCCCAGACCTCCCTGCGCCCCAGACCTCCCTGTGCCCCAGACCTCCCTGCGCCCCAGACCTCCCTGCGCCCCAGACCTCCCTGCGCCCCAGACCTCCCTGCACCCAGCACCCCAGACCTCCCTGCGCCCCAGACCTCCCTGCGCCCCAGGCCTCCCTGCGCCCCAGGCCTCCCTGCGCCCCAGGCCTCCCTGCGCCCCAGGCCTCCCTGCGCCCCAGACCTCCCTGCGCCCCAGACCTCCCTGTACCCAGACCTCCCTGCGCCCCAGACCTCCCTGCGCCCCAGACCTCCCTGCACCTCAGACCTCCCTGCGCCCCAGACCTCCCTGCGCCCCAGGCCTCCCTGCGCCCCAGGCCTCCCTGCACCCCAGACCTCCCAGGCCTCCCTGCACCCCAGACCTCCCTGCACCCCAGACCTCCCTGCGCCCCAGGCCTCCCTGCACCCAGCACCCCAGACCTCCCTGTGCCCCAGGCCTCCCTGCGCCCCAGGCCTCCCTGCGCCCCAGGCCTCCCTGCGCCCCAGACCTCCCTGCGCCCCAGACCTCACTGCGCCCCAGACCTCCCTATGCCCCAGGCCTCCCTGCGCCCCAGACCTCCCTGCGCCCCAGGCCTCCCTGCGCCCCAGACCTCCCTGCGCCCCAGACCTCCCTGCGCCCCGCACCTCCCGTCTCAGGTGAGGGAAATGCAGTGCACCTGTGCTGAGCCACCGTCCAGAAGAGGACAGTCTCTAAGACACAAGCTTCCCAGCCTTCATAATGTCACCGTTTGTCCCCAGAAAGCCGGGCCTCGGCAGGACGCAACGGCCCTGAGGGTGGTTGCTGTCCACGAGAAAACACAACCTTCACCAAAGCTCCAGTCAGAGCGGCACCCAGCTCCACGCGGCGGCATGCACCGGTGCTGGCGGGGACGCCCTGCGAGGCGGCGGCCAGGTGAGGCCAAGTCTGGCAGCACTATGTCCAAGAAGAGCTGAAGCTGGGGGGCGGTGATCAACCTCGACCCCCCAAACTTGGAGGAGGAGAAGGAGGAGGAGGAGGAGAGAAGGGAGGGGAAAGAGAAAAAGGAGGGGGAGGAAGAAAGAGAAGGAGGAAGAAGGGAGGAAAAAGTGGGCGAAGATGAGAAGAGGAGGAGGAGGGAGGAAAGGGGAAGAGGAAAGAGGGAGGGAAGAGAGTGGAGGGGAAATGAGGAAGAGGAGGAGGAGGACCAGGAAGGAAGACAATGAGGAGGAGACCACCCTGCTGTCCGCCAGCAATGCAAGAGCTCAGGGCGCGCAGGGCTCCGGACCCCCCCTCTCCCCCCGCACAAGGCCTGGCTGGCTGTAGAGACAGAGCTGATGCTTCTGGGCCTGGCATTTTTGCCGGAGGCTGTGCCCCCAAGAACGGCTCCACTGAATTCAGTCCCGGATCCAGTCTCTCAATGGCCGTCTCTCTAAACGCTCGACCAGCCACGGGGAGTGAGGTTCAGGTGAAGGCTTCTTCCGGCAGATGGCAGACATCCGGTCTGTGTTTCAGAGTCCTCTGTGGGTGGCCGGCGGCACCAGCGGGAAGCCTGTGGTGGGGAACCTGCTCTCGGGCCACAGACCCTCGGCTGCCTCTGCAGGGGGTGGAGCTGGCCCCCAAATTCACATCGCTGTGGGTGGGGTCCTTCGGGGGGCCGGAGAGATCTGCCAGAAGTCCGTGTAGGCCAACACTGCAGGACTTCCAGGGGCTGAGAAGTCACGCCCTGGGGACTAGCAAGCGTCCAGCCTGTGGAGCCAACGGCACGGAGCCGTGGCTGCGGGGAGCCAGGGGGGAGATGCGGGCGCAAGCAGGACCGGGCGGCCTCGGTTCTCACACACTGCGCCACCCAGCGACGGACGCGGCCCTCACCGCGGCCTGCCCACCCAGCAGGCCAGTCCTGCCGCTCGGCTGAGAGCCGGTCAGGGGCACACCAGAACCCAGGATGACATTCGCTCGCAGGCTTTGTGAAGTCACCCCGGGAGTTCACCTACATCAGTGCACTGAAAGGGAGGTGTCTGGGCCGTCAGGCAAAGGGAAGACAGTGAAAATGGCAGCGGTCATCACTGACAGCGGTCATCACGGACAGTGGTCATCACTCACAGTAGTCATCTGACAGTGGTCATCACTGGCAGTGGTCATCACAGACAGTGGTCATCTCCTGACAATGGTCATCACTGACCGCGGTCATCACAGACAGCGGTCATCACTGACAGTGGTCATCATTGACAATGGTCATCACGGACAGCGGTCAAAACCTGACAGCTGGCCATGTGTCTCCCTGAGGCCATGGTCATGTTCGTTCACCTCCCACGGGACTCTGAGGGCCACACTCACCTCCCACGGGACACTGCAGGGTCACGTCTGCCCCCAGGGCGGCCTCCACGGTACTGCCCACCACGGCTGAGAGGTGACTTTGCTCTGGTTTGGTGACGTTTCTTTCAACAGAGGAGATGACAGGCGCCGCTTAATTCAAAGACAGCAGGAGACACGTTAGGCGCCAGCCTGTGGGGCTGCGCCCGCCAGCCGTCCACCCGGGGGGGCTGTGCCCGCCAGCCGTCCACCCAGGGGGCTGCGCCCGCCAGCCATCCACCCAGGGGGCTGCGCCTGCCAGCCGTCCACCCGGGGGGGCTGCGCCCGCCAGCCCTGCCAGCCGTCTACCCAGGGGGCTGCGCCCACCAGCCCTGCCAGCCGTCCACCCGGGGGGGCTGCGCCCGCCAGCCGTCCACCCAGGGGGCTGCGCCCGCCAGCCGTCCACCCAGGGGGCTGCGCCCGCCAGCCGTCCACCCAGGGGGCTGCGCCCGCCAGCCGTCCACCCAGGGGGCTGCACCCACCAGCCCTGCCAGCCGTCCACTCAGGGGGCTGCGCCTGCCAGCCGTCCACCCAGGAGGCTGTGCCTGCCAGCCCTGCCAGCCGTCCACCCAGGGGGCTGCGCCTGCCAGCCGTCCACCCAGGAGGCTGTGCCTGCCAGCCCTGCCAGCCTTCCACCCAGGGGGCTGCGCCCGCCAGCCGTCCACCCAGGGGGCTGCGCCCGCCAGCCGTCTACCCAGGGGGCTGTGCACACCAGCCCTGCCAGCCGTCCACCCGGGGGGCTGCGCCCGCCAGCCGTCCACCCGGGGGGGCTGCGCCCACCAGCCCTGCCAGCCGTCCACCCAGGGGGGGCTGCGCCTGCCAGCCGTCCACCTAGGGGGGGCTGCGCACGCCAGCCCTGCCAGCCGTCCACCCAGGGGGGGCTGCGCCCGCCAGCCCTGCCAGCCGTCCACCCAGGGGGGGCTGCGCCCGCTAGCCCTGCCAGCCGTCCACCCGGGGGGGCTGCACCCGCCAGCCGTCCACCCAGGGGGCTGCGCCCACCAGCCGTCCACCCAGGGGAGGCTGTGCACACCAGCCCTGCCAGCCGTCCACCCAGGAGGCTGTGCCTGCCAGCCCTGCCAGCCGTCCACCCGGGGGGGCTGCGCCCGCCAGCCGTCCACCCAGGGGGCTGTGCACATCAGCCCCGCCAGCCGTCCACCCAGGGGGCTGTGCACACCAGCCCCACCAGCCGTCCACCCAGGGGGCTGTGCACACCAGCCCTGCCAGCCGTCCACCCGGGGGGCTGCGCCCACCAGCCGTCCACCCGGGGGGCTGCGCCCGCCAGCCGTCCGCCCGGGTGGGGGCTGTGCACGCCAGCCGTCTGCCCAGGGGGCTGCGCCCGCCAGCCCTGCCAGCCATCCACCGGGGGGATGGACCGAGGCTTTGAGGGTCATTGCAGCCACCAGACACAAGCAGTGGTTTGGTTTGTAACTGACATTAAGGACAATGGTCCCTTCGATGGATTGTTTGAAAAAAGCAGGAACTGGGTTCAGAAGAAGCAAAGACGTCCCGCTGGCAGCTGCAGTGTCTCCAGGCGCTGGATGAGCTGACGCCCGCACAACGTGCCTGGGAGTGGGACGACCGAGCTTTGGTGTCCGGGAGAAGCGACGGGCAGGGTCCCTGACCGGCCCTGCGCCCTGCGGTCTCCGCCTCCGGGAGGCTCTCACGGGGAGGGGACAGGAAACGCTTCTCTTCAGTGGAAATCTTTCCCCAGTGCCCACTCCAGGGCCTGCTCCCACCCCGCTGTGAACTTTTCGGGGCACGTGGGACTTCAGCCTGGGTGCGGACGGCAGAGTGTGGACAGAGTGCTGGCTCTGGGCCGCCGTCTCCTCCCTCTGCTGCCTCAGCGTGAATTAAATGCACACCCGCCCGCCCCAGGGAAACACTGCCCTGGCGTGGCCAGCTCAAAGGCCCCTGCCCAGGGACACACGGGGAGGGGACAGGGCAGCGGCCAGCTCCCAGGTCAAGTCTTGACCTCAGGGAGGAATTCCAAGGGCCGGCTGGTAGAACTGGATGGACGGATGCAGCAACCTCTACCAGATGCCGACTTTCTTTCCCCAGCTGGTGAGACTTTAAAAGTCCATGACATCGAGAGTACCAACCAAACCCCCGTCTCGTCCCCCAATTCTTCTGCAGTGTGCCCTGAACCAGCTGATTCCAGACTGAGGTCCCAGGGGCCACGTGTCACCCAGGCATGGGTTCAAGGCCCCGGCTCCCACCTTCATCTCAAACCTCCTAAGGCCGACGCCCGGGGTGGACGCCAGCAACCTGGCTCAAGCCGGCAGGAGACCGGGGCACACTCAACTCTGAGAAGTGTCCTGCTTGAGTTTAACAGGGAAAAAGCAGCAGATCTAGACATCCTGGCATTACCTGCCCAGAGCACAGAGGAGCTCTCCACGTCCGAGCCCAGAGGATTAGCCACGGCGCATTTGTAGATTCCTTGCTCCCTCCTGGTTGGGTTCCTGATCTGAATCCTCTCGGCTCCTTCCATGACTATCCTGAAAGAAACCCACAGTGCATGGTCCCCACCGTTGCTGGGGAGGCTGGCGGCGGGCTGTGGAGGACCGAGACGGCGCTACGGAGGGGGTTTGTAACGGTGATCTGCCGACAGGCAGACACTCGGTCTAGAGGGTGGGAGCTACACGCCAGGAGGGACAGCCTGCCCCGTGGCCCTCCGACCCCATCCTTCAAAAGGTCAAGCCTCTGGCACTTTGAGAGTCAGAGCTGACCAGGCAATTATCCAGAGAAATGGGAGCGTTTCTTCTGCTTCTAATTTCACCGTTCCATAGTGCGTTGACTGGGGGCAGAGGGGGACATCCTGTGTGTGATTTATTTCACCATTTCCATGACCTGTGCGGAGTCTAACCGCGGCCCTTCTCCATGAGTGGAGTGCAGTCACGCCTTCGCTTCCCGCCGCTTCCTCCGCTCACCCCCGGGCTTCAGCCACCATGAACTCCAGCTGTCCCCAGAACACCTCCCAATCGTTCATCCCCCAAGCGTCTGCACACGCCACTCATTTCTACCAGAGTCCCCGGTCAAAGGTCATGTCCCTGGTGCCCCCGACTTCATCTTCACCCCCCTCGGGGCTTCTTCTTCAGTTCATGTGCTGATTTGATGAAATATCTGTCCCTACTGGACTATGAACACGTCAAGGGGAAGGCTGGATCTTACAGCCGTGCACCTCAGTGCTAAGCACAATGAATTCTACACAGCAGTTTCCAAAAGCCTCGGGTAGCTCCATGTGTGAATGACAAGAACAAGAGAGTCCGGGCAGCCAGGGAGACAGGCAGGAAACCCAGTGCGTGCCGGGCCTGCCCCACAGACACGCAGGAGGCACGCACGCGGGCAGAGCGGGAGCAGCTAGCGCGTCCCACAGGGAAATCAGCACTCTAGAACACCAGGGCAAATGGCTGCGGCTCGACAGTGGAAATCGGCAGGCTAGAACACCAGGGCAAACCGCTGTAACTCGACGGTGGAAATCGGCAGGCTAGAACACCAGGGCAAACCGCTGCGGCTCGACAGTGGAAATCGGCAGGCTAGAACACCAGGGCAAACCGCTGTAACTCGAGTTTCCTCCAGATGCCTTCATGATGGCCACAGTGAGCCCGAGTATTTAAACGCCATGTGGCGTGTAGCATTGGAAACGCTGTTTAGCTCAGTGTACCAGCGTTTAGAAAATGACCCACAGATGACGCTGTGGTGAGGATTCTGTTCAAAGGGAGGAGCTAAACACACTCAGGTGCACACTCAACCATACCCAGCCTCATACCAACAGGCTCGTGACTGGGATCCTCCAAGTGTGTAGTGTGTACCCAAGTGGAGATCTGTGAATTGTGGATTAAAAAACCAATGTTTGGTTAAAAACAGCCACGGCACACATGTGAAAAGGACAGGTGCTAGCCTCGTCTGAGTCAGAAACACTGCTAGCAGGGGACGGAGCGCGTCTGAGTCAGAAACACTGCTAGCAGGGGACGGAGCGCGTCTGAGTCAGAAACACTGCTAGCAGGGGACGGAGCGCGTCTGAGTCAGAGACACTGCTAGCAGGGGACGGAGCGCGTCTGAGTCAGAGACACTGCTAGCAGGGGACGGAGCGCGTCTGAGTCAGAGACACTGCTAGCAGGGGACGGAGCGCGTCTGAGTCAGAGACACTGCTAGCAGGGGACGGAGCGCGTCTGAGTCAGAGACACTGCTAGCAGGGGACGGAGCGCGTCTGAGTCAGAGACACTGCTAGCAGGGGACGGAGCGCGTCTGAGTCAGAAACACTGCTAGCAGGGGACGGAGCGCGTCTGGGGGAGGACCGGGGACCGAGCGCGTCTGGGGGAGGACCGGGGACCGAGCGCGTCTGGGGGAGGACCGGGGACGGAGCGCGTCTGGGGGAGGACTCTCTGGGGGAGGACTCTCTGGGGGAGGACTCTCTGGGGGAGGACTCTGGGGGACGGAGCGCGTCTGGGGGAGGACTCTCTGGGGGACGGAGCGCGTCTGGGGGAGGACCGGGGACTGAGCGCGTCTGGGGGAGGACCGGGGACTGAGCGCGTCTGGGGGAGGACTCTCTGGGGGAGGACTCTCTGGGGGAGGACTCTGGGGGACGGAGCGCGTCTGGGGGAGGACCGGGGCCACCGTGCCCAGGCCGGACCAGAGCCCTGCTCTGTACTCACCCTGCCGTGGGCCGCAGCAGCTCCCCGTCCTTGGTCCACGTGTACGTGGCGTGGGTGGGGACCCGCAGGCCGCACAGGATGTGGATGGTCTCCGTCTTGTTTGTGATGTACACGGTGTTTCCGACCTGGGCGGTGATGGTTGTATTGAAGGAGATGGCGGAGGGCTGTGTCTGTCTTAGGAGCACGGGCCGCCTGCCCGGGAGGGGCCCCGCGGAGCTCTGGGGCCCGTCTCCTGCCGGCGGCTCTCTGGGCCGGGCGTTCAGGACCTCCTCGTCCCCACGGCTCTGGGGCACGGGTGCGGGCTGCACCTGAACCAGCTCGGCCGCCAGCTGGTGCATCACCTGGGACGCCAGGTCCCTGCTGACCTCTCCTGTCTCCAGCAGCCGACTCAGGTTCTTTATCAGCTCCTCAAACTGGGCCGTGTCCAGGCTGTGGGCTCCCTGCTGCACCGCTGCTTCGAACTGCCTGGGCTCAAGGCCCCAGGGGGCGTCGCCGCTGCCTGGAGAACCATGGCTGCAGGGGCCCAACAGAGCTCTCAAGGAAGCCGGGTGGTCCGTCTGGCCGCCAGGCGGGTAAAGCCCATCTTTGTGACTCCAAAGCTGCTGCATTTTATGCCACACGGCACCCAAGCTATTGGCTTCCCCGGGGTCCGTCCCGGAAGGGTCCCTGGCATGTTCTCGGACAGCTGGGTGTGCCACGAGCCGGTTGTCCGTGCCGATGAGCTTGAGAACCACTGTTTCCTGAGCCGGGCCCGCGAGGCACCGATACACACCGATGTCGGCCGCTGCGAGCCGGGGGATCTTCAGGGAGCCCGACTTTGTGACCCGCAGCTGTCTGGAGCTCTGCAGACAACGGCCACCCTTCTCCCACCTGATCAGAGACTTCTGGAATCGCCGCACGGGGCACCTGACGATCACGGATGTGTTGGGCAGCAGGTAAGCCCGGCTCCCCACCGTCAGGTTGATCTGCTTCTCCTCCCGGGTCTGGATGTAGATCCTTCGCACGCTGAGAATCTCAGGGCCCCGACCACTAAGTCTTGGCTTTGTCTCTGGCTTCATTTCTGCAGGGGAAAAACAGGATAGAAAAGACATGCAAATTTTAAAAAATCACTCAAAAATGAACACTTATTGACCGCATCCTTCCAGGCGGATACAAGCCTACATAACTCACTTTTTCTATTCTTAACACACACACACACACAACACTAAAGCTGGAGTGAAATGAAAGACTAACTCTTTAGTAGAGAAGAAGGCAGGTTTCAATGAGGGCTGAAGAACAGAGCCTTGGTTGGAGGCGGGGTGAGGCGAGCGTGGGGTCTGGGCTCTAGGCCTGGCCTTCTGGCTAGCAGGGTCCTGGTGAGCCTCACCCTCTGCCCCGTCTGTCCTGGTTCACCTGCCTGCAGCATGAACCTCCTGCACATTCCGGAAACCTCGGGGCGTTCCTGCTCGTTATTCCGCAGGACGGTGCCAGTGCCATGCAGGCTGCCCGTCACCGAGCCTGGCAGAGCCACGCACCATGCTCGGGGGAAATCAGGGTGCACCTCCCCAGGCTTCCCGGATTCCCAGGGACTTCGAAACCTGGACTCCAACCTTTGGAATCTCAAGATTTTGAAATGCGGTTCTCAAAATGCTCTCAGGGAAAACAAAATTCCTCCATTGCCCGTGAGTCAGCGGGGCGAGGCCTCCGAGCCTGGGCTGGAGAGGCAGCGGACCTGTGGCCCCTGCCCGTCCTGGCCTGGGCACCTCCCAGGCCTCCCTGCATTCTTGGGTTCTCATCCCCAGGCGAGGACAGTGCTACCCAGGGGGCGGCTACGTGGGATGATGCACCCAGGGAACGGCCCTCGGCCAGTGCTGCACAATCTAACTGAACGCTTTCATCATTTTGCTCTGTGAGGAGGTTCTCCAGGAGAACCACACACGCGTGCATGCCACATTAAAGCAACAGCTCATTTCTAACTAACTCCTGTCTTCCCGCAAGCTCGGGGATGTCTGCAGGTGCGTGCTGTCTCTACAGGAGAAATGGAAGAGAGTGGAAAAGCAGAGAAGGGACTCAGCCCCAAAGCCGTTATTCCACGTCCTCTGCTCTGCTGCCCGGTGTCCAGCCCGCAGGCAGGGCTGATCTCCTTCCCTGAGACCCCTCCTCACAAGTGCCCAGGGCCCCGCACAGCGACGCCAGCTTATCATCCACACCGTAACTGCAGCCGCGTCGGGAACCGGCGGTCTGCAGGGAAGCTACTCCACATCCTCACCTCCCTGGCTTTAGGCGAGACGCAGCTCCGCTGTGTTTACCTGGATGATTGCTCAGCTCTGCTGTTTAACTGGACGACGAGCACATGTTGCTGGAGCCGGGGCATTCTGCTCACAACTCCTACCAGGGGTGTGCGTGTGACCACCAGGGGTGTGCGTGTGACCACCAGGGGTGTGCGTGTGACTCCTACCAGGGGTGTGCGTGTGACTACCAGGGGTGTGCGTGTGACCACCAGGGGTGTGCGTGTGACTCCTACCAGGGGTGTGCGTGTGACCACCAGGGGTGTGCGTGTGACTCCTACCAGAGGTTTGCGTGTGACCACCAGGGGTGTGCGTGTGACTCCTATCAGGGGTGTGCGTGTGACCACCAGGGGTGTGCGTGTGACCACCAGGGGTGTGCGTGTGACTCCTACCAGGAGTGTGTGTGCGTGTGACCACCAGGGGTGTGCGTGTGACTCCTATCAGGGGTGTGTGTGTGACCACCAGGGGTGTGCGTGTGACTCCTACCAGGGGTGTGCGTGTGACTCCTACCAGGGGTGTGCGTGTGACTCCTACCAGGGGTGTGCGTGTGACCACCAGGGGTGTGCGTGTGACTACCAGGGGTGTGCGTGTGACCACCAGGAGTGTGTGTGTGTGACTACCAGGAGTGTGTGTGTGACTACCAGGGGTGTGTGACTACCAGGAGTGTGTGTGTGTGTGTGTGACTACCAGGAGTGTGTGTGACTACCAGGAGTGTGTGTGACTACCAGGATTGTGCGTGTGACCCCTACCAGGAGTGTGTGTGTGTGTGTGACTACCAGGGGTGTGTGTGTGTGTGTGTGTGTGTGTGTGACTACCAGGGGTGTGTGTGTGTGTGTGTGTGTGTGTGTGACTACCAGGAGTGTGTGTGTGTGTGTGTGTGTGTGTGTGACTACCAGGGGTGTGTGTGTGTGTGTGACTACCAGGGGTGTGTGTGTGTGTGTGACTACCAGGAGTGTGTGTGACTACCAGGAGTGTGCGTGTGACCCCTACCAGGGGTGTGTGTGTAACTCCGACCGGGGGTGTGCGTGCGACTCGCACCGGGGGTGTGTGTGTAACTCTGACTGGGGGTGTGTGTGTAACTCTGACCGGGGGTGTGTGTGTAACTCCGACCAGGGGTGTGCGTGCGACTCGCACCGGGGGTGTGCGTGCGACTCGCACCGGGGGTGTGCCGTGGCTTCCACTCAGAAAGCAGAGGTCGCAGCAGCACTGTGAGCGGTGTTTCTGAGTGCTGGCTTTCTCAGGACGCCGCAGTCTCCATGTTCTCCCACCGGCCTGAGCTCACTCAGCCCCGGACAGCAGCAGGAGCCAGTCCAGGCCGAGAGAGGGGCACACACGGGTGCCACGAGGGACCGCACACAGGGCACACTTACACACACACACGAGGGACCGCACACACAGGGCACACTTACACACACACACGAGGGACGGCACACACAGGCACACTTACACACACACACGAGGGACCGCACACACAGGGCACACTTACACACACACACGAGGGACCGCACACACAGGCACACTTACACACACACGAGGGACCGCACACACGGCACACTTACCCCCGCACACACGAGGGACCGCACACACAGGGCACACTTACACACACACACACGAGGGACCGCACACACAGGCACACTTACACACACACACGAGGGACCACACACACAGGCACACTTACCCCCGCACACACGAGGGACCGCACACACAGGGCACACTTACACACACACACGAGGGACCGCACACAGGGCACACTTACACACACACAAGAGGGACCGCACACACAGGCACACTTACACACACACGAGGGACCGCACACAGGCACACTTACACACACACACACGAGGGACCGCACACACGGCACACTTACCCCCGCACACACGAGGGACCGCACACACAGGGCACACTTACACACACACACACGAGGGACCGCACACACAGGCACACTTACACACACACACGAGGGACCGCACACACAGGCACACTTACACACACACACGAGGGACCGCACACAGGCACACTTACACACACACACACGAGGGACTGCACACAGGCACACTTACACACACACACGAGGGACCGCACACACAGGCACACTTACACACACACACGAGGGACCGCACACACAGGGCACACTTACCCCCGCACACACGAGGGACCGCACACACAGGCACACTTACACACACACACGAGGGACCGCACACACAGGCACACTTACACACACACACGAGGGACTGCACACAGGCACACTTACCCCCGCACACACGAGGGACCACACACAGGCACACTTACCCCCGCACACACAAGGGACCGCACACACAGGCACACTTACACACACACGAGGGACCGCACACACAGGCACACTTACACACACACACGAGGGACCACACACACAGGCACACTTACCCCCGCATACACGCATCTGGCACGGTCTCTCGAGCGGGGGGCCGGCCAGACCCTGGCACGCGGCGTTGCCTAGCGGGACGCGGAGGCCCCTGGCTGTCAGCTTCTGGCACACCTGCCTCCTTCTCTGGACCCCGACGCCGCAGCTGACGGAGCACTGCGGGGAGAGCATGCGGCCATCGCGCCGGGCCAGAGGTAGGCCAGCGCCGGCCCAGCCACGGCAAGGCCGCACGGGGGGAGGAAGAGGGGGCTGAGGGCGCCGGGCCGGCCACGGCAAGGCCGCACGGGGCGGGGGGACGAAGAGGGGGCTGAGGGCGCCAGGCCGGAGGCGGCCCCGGCGAGCCCCTCCTGCGGGCTAGACAGCTGGAGGCTCTCCACGACGGCGGGCGGCCTCCCTCCCCACCCTCAGGCCGCATCGCCTCTGCGCCCTGCGCTGGCAAGGGGCAGGAAGTGTCTCCTTCAGCTCTGCCTCCCACCCACACCCTGCAGGACCACACTCTGGGTTCTTGGGGGGAGCATGATTGCAGTCACCCCCACCCCCTGGTCTCTGAGCGCTGTCCTGGTCTCTGAGCGCTGTCCCTGGTCTCTGAGCGCTGTCCTGGTCTCTGAGCACTGTCCTGGTCTCTGAGCGCTGTCCCTGGTCTCTGAGCGCTGTCCTGGTCTCTGAGCGCTGTCCCTGGTCTCTGAGCGCTGTCCTGGTCTCTGAGCCGCTGTCCCTGGTCTCTGAGCCGCTGTCCCCTGGTCTCTGAGCCGCTGTCCCTGGTCTCTGAGCGCTGTCCCTGGTCTCTGAGCGCTGTCCCTGGTCTGAGCCACTGTCCCTGGTCTCTGAGCGCTGTCCCTGGTCTGAGCCACTGTCCCTGGTCTCTGAGCGCTGTCCCTGGTCTCTGAGCGCTGTCCCCTGGTCTCTGAGCGCTGTCCCTGGTCTCTGAGCCGCTGTCCCCTGGTCTCTGAGCGCTGTCCTGGTCTCTGAGCGCTGTCCCTGGTCTCTGAGCGCTGTCCCTGGTTTGAGCCACTGTCCCTGGTCTCTGAGCGCTGTCCCTGGTCTCTGAGCCACTGTCCTGGTCTCTGAGCGCTGTCCTGGTCTCTGAGCGCTGTCCCTGGTCTCTGAGCGCTGTCCCTGGTCTCTGAGCGCTGTCCCTGGTCTCTGAGCGCTGTCCCTGGTCTCTGAGCCACTGTCCTGGTCTCTGAGCGCTGTCCCCTGGTCTCTGAGCGCTGTCCCTGGTCTCTGAGCGCTGTCCCTGGTCTCTGAGCACTGTCCCTGGTCTGAGCCACTGTCCCTGGTCTCTGAGCGCTGTCCCTGGTCTCTGAGCCGCTGTCCTGGTCTCTGAGCGCTGTCCTGGTCTCTGAGCGCTGTCCTGGTCTCTGAGCGCTGTCCCTGGTCTCTGAGCGCTGTCCCTGGTCTGAGCCGCTGTCCCCTGGTCTCTGAGCCACTGTCCTGGTCTCTGAGCGCTGTCCCTGGTCTCTGAGCGCTGCCCCTGGTCTCTGAGCGCTGTCCCTGGTCTCTGAGCCGCTGTCCCTGGTCTCTGAGCCGCTGTCCCTGGTCTCTGAGCGCTGTCCCTGGTCTCTGAGCGCTGTCCCTGGTCTCTGAGCGCTGTCCTCTGGTCTCTGAGCGCTGTTCCTGGTCTCTGAGCGCTGTCCTGGACTCTGAGCCACTGTCCCTGGTCTCTGAGCGCTGTCCCTGGCCTCTGAGCGCTGTCCCTGGTCTCTGAGCCACTGTCCCTGGTCTCTGAGCGCTGCCCCTGGTCTCTGAGCGCTGTCCCTGGTCTCTGAGCCGCTGTCCCTGGTCTCTGAGCCGCTGTCCCTGGTCTCTGAGCGCTGTCCCTGGTCTCTGAGCGCTGTCCCTGGTCTCTGAGCGCTGTCCTCTGGTCTCTGAGCGCTGTTCCTGGTCTCTGAGCGCTGTCCTGGACTCTGAGCCACTGTCCCTGGTCTCTGAGCGCTGTCCTGGTCTCTGAGCGCTGTCCCTGGCCTCTCAGCGCTGTCCCTGGTCTCTGAGCCACTGTCCCTGGTCTCTGAGCACTGTCCCTGGTCTCTGAGCCACTGTCCCTGGTCTGAGCGCTGCCCCTGGTCTCTGAGCGCTGTCCCTGGTCTCTGAGCCACTGTCCTGGTCTCTGAGCCGCTGTCCCTGGTCTCTGAGCGCTGTCCCTGGTCTCTGAGCGCTGTCCCTGGTCTGAGCCGCTGTCCCTGGCCTCTGAGCCGCTGTCCCTGGCCTCTGAGCGCTGTCCCTGGTCTCTGAGCGCTGTCCCTGGACTCTGAGCCGCTGTCCCTGGTCTCTGAGCGCTGTCCCTGGACTCTGAGCCGCTGTCCCTGGTCTCTGAGCGCTGTCCCTGGCCTCTGAGCCACTGTCCTGGTCTCTGAGCCGCTGTCCCTGGTCTCTGAGCGCTGTCCCTGGTCTCTGAGCCGCTGTCCTGGTCTCTGAGCCGCTGTCCTGGACTCTGAGCCGCTGTCCTCTGGTCTGAGCCGCTGGCCAGGCCTTTGACTCCCGGGGACCCTCATCCTAGTCTTCCCTCATTTTGGTCCAGAGCTCATGGTCTCTGGCTGGTGTGCCTCGTGACGTAGTTGGGGACTGTGGCCACCCCACTGTTCACTGAAGTCAAAGTGTCCCTTTTTTCATTCTATTTTTAAACTGGATTTCAAAGGAGAGGAGTCCAACTTTAAAAAACTCCTTCACTGTCACTTCTGACAGAGGCTCTTGGTGATTACTTTCAGCACGGAGAAAAGCTCTTTGTAGGGTCACGTTACGGGTATTCTAAAACTACCACTTGCCAATTGCCATTTATCTGCTAACCTCCTCAGCGATCACTTAAGTTTAAAACTTACATGCCATATAAATAATACCAAGGTTGTGTCCAACTATCATGGAGCCTATGTGTGTATCTAACGTCTTTAGACAGCCATCAGACACTAAGACATCAACAGCTGATGAGCCGGGTGCGGGCAGAGGGAACCCCTCGCTGGGAGGAGGGGAGGGGGAGGCGGGTCTGGGTGTGGAGGGGAGGGGGGTGGCGGGTCTGAGGGAGGAGGGGAGGGGGGTGGCGGGTCTGGGGGTGGAGGGGAGGGGGAGGCGGGTCTGGGTGTGGAGGGGAGGGGGGAGGCGGGTCTGGGGGTGGAGGGGAGGGGGGTGGCGGGTCTGGGTGTGGAGGGGAGGGGGGTGGCGGGTCTGGGGGTGGAGGGGAGGGGGTGGCGGGTCTGAGGGTGGAGGGGAGGGGGAGGTGGGTCTGGGTGTGGAGGGGAGGGGGAGGCGGGTCTGGGTGTGGAGGGGAGGGGGTGGCGGGTCTGGGGGAGGAGGGGAGGGGGGTGGCGGGTCTGGGGGTGGAGGGGAGGGGTGGCGGGTCTGGGGGAGGAGGGGAGGGGGGTGGCGGGTCTGGGGGAGGAGGGGGAGGGGGGTGGCGGGTCTGAGGGTGGAGGGGAGGGGGAGGTGGGTCTGGGGGAGGAGGGGAGGGGGGTGGCGGGTCTGGGGGTGGAGGGGAGGGGGAGGTGGGTCTGGGGGAGGAGGGGAGGGGGGTGGCGGGTCTGGGGGTGGAGGGGAGGGGGAGGCGGGTCTGAGGGAGGAGGGGAGGAGGAGGCGGGTCTGGGGGTGGAGGGGAGGGAGGAGGCGGGTCTGAGGGAGGAGGCGAGGGGGGAGGCGGGTCTGAGGGAGGAGGGGAGGGGGAGGCGGGTCTGGGGGAGGAGGGGAGGGGGGAGGCGGGTCTGGGGGTGGAGGGGAGGGGGAGGCGGGTCTGGGGGTGGAGGGGAGGGGTGGCGGGTCTGAGGGAGGAGGGGAGGAGGGAGGCGGGTCTGGGGGTGGAGGGGAGGGGGGTGGCGGGTCTGAGGGAGGAGGGGAGGGGGGTGGCGGGTCTGAGGGAGGAGGCGAGGGGGGAGGCGGGTCTGGGGGTAGAGGGGAGGGGGTGGCGGGTCTGGGGGAGGAGGGGAGGGGGGTGGCGGGTCTGGGGGAGGAGGGGAGGGAGGAAGCGGGTCTGAGGGAGGAGGGGAGGGGGAGGCGGGTCTGGGGGAGGAGGGGAGGGGGAGGCGGGTCTGGGGGTGGAGGGGAGGGGGAGGCGGGTCGGGGGGTGGAGGGGAGGGGTGGCGGGTCTGAGGGAGGAGGGGAGGAGGGAGGCGGGTCTGGGGGTGGAGGGGAGGGGGAGGCGGGTCTGAGGGAGGAGGGGAGGGGGGAGGCGGGTCTGAGGGAGGAGGGGAGGGGGGGTGGCGGGTCTGGGGGTGGAGGGGAGGGGGGTGGCGGGTCTGAGGGAGGAGGGGAGGGGGAGGCGGGTCTGAGGGAGGAGGGGAGGGGGAGGCGGGTCTGGGGGAGGAGGGGAGGGGGAGGCGGGTCTGGGGGTGGAGGGGAGGGGGAGGCGGGTCTGGGGGTGGAGGGGAGGGGGAGGCGGGTCTGAGGGAGGAGGGGAGGGGGAGGCGGGTCTGGGGGTGGAGGGGAGGGGGAGGCGGGTCTTGGGGTGGAGGGGAGGGGGAGGCGGGTCTGGGGGTGGAGGGGAGGGGGAGGCGGGTCTGGGGGTGGAGGGGAGGGGGAGGCGGGTCTGAGGGAGGAGGGGAGGGGGAGGCGGGTCTGGGGGAGGAGGGGAGGGGGAGGCGGGTCTGAGGGAGGAGGGGAGGGGGGAGGCGGGTCTGAGGGAGGAGGGGAGGGGGAGGCGGGTCTGGGGGAGGAGGGGAGGGGGAGGCGGGTCTGGGGGAGGAGGGGAGGGGGAGGCGGGTCTGAGGGAGGAGGGGAGGGGGGAGGCGGGTCTGGGGGTGGAGGGGAGGGGGGAGGCGGGTCTGAGGGAGGAGGGGAGGGGGAGGCGGGTCTGAGGGAGGAGGGGAGGGGGAGGCGGGTCTGAGGGAGGAGGGGAGGGGGGAGGCGGGTCTATGGGTGGAGGGGAGGGGGAGCCGGGTCTGAGGGAGGAGGGGAGGGGGAGGCGGGTCTGAGGGAGGAGGGGAGGGGGAGGCGGGTCTGGGGGTGGAGGGGAGGGGGAGGCGGGTCTGAGGGAGGAGGGGAGGGGGAGGCGGGTCTGGGGGTGGAGGGGAGGGGGAGGCGGGTCTTGGGGTGGAGGGGAGGGGGAGGCGGGTCTGAGGGAGGAGGGGAGGGGGGAGGCGGGGTCTATGGGTGGAGGGGAGGGGGAGCCGGGTCTGAGGGAGGAGGGGAGGGGGAGGCGGGTCTGAGGGAGGAGGGGAGGGGGGAGGCGGGTCTGGGGGTGGAGGGGAGGGGGAGGCGGGTCTGAGGGAGGAGGCGAGGGGGGAGGCGGGTCTGAGGGAGGAGGTGCGGGGTCCCAGTCTGAGGGAGGAGGTGCGGGGTCCCAGTCTGAGGGAGGAGGTGCGGGGTCCTCCGTCTGAGGGAAAAGGTGTGGGGTCCCCAGTCTGAGGGAGGAGGGGAGGGGTTGGCGGGTTTGAGGGAGGAGGTGCGGGGTCCCAGTCTGAGGGAGGAGGTGCGGGGTCCCCAGTCTGAGGGGGGGAGGGGGGAGGCGGGTCTGAGGGAGGAAGTGCGGGGTCCCAGTCTGAGGGAGGAGGGGAGGGGATGAAGGGTCTGAGGGAGGAGGGGAGGGGATGAAGGGTCTGAGGGAGGAGGTTCCCCAGTCTGAGGGAGGAGGGGAGGGGGGAGGCGGGTCTGAGGGAGGAGGTGCGGGGTCCCCAGTCTGAGGGAGGGGGGGAGGGAGGCCGCGCACCTGGGACCAGTCCCCGGGGTCCAGGCGGGGCGGACAGTCGGCCCTGGCGCAGGACCTGCGGGCCGCGGCCTTGGGTCCTGGGCACAGCTCGTCCGCCAGGGTGAGGACGCGGCCGTCGGCCAGCAGCTGCCGACAGGAGACGGTCCGGGCCTGCGAGCCGCCGCCGCCGCACGTCCTGGAACACTGACGGGGCCGGTGGGCGGGGCGGGGCGGAGGACGGGGCGGGGCCGGGAGCAAGGGGCGGGGCCGGGAGCAGGGGCGGGGCCGGGAGGACGGAGGCGGGGCCGGGGTGGGCGGGGCGGGCCGGAGGACGGGGCGGGGCCGGGAGCAAGGGGCGGGGCCGGGAGCAGGGGGCGGGGCTGGGAGCAGGGGGCGGGGCTGGGAGGGCGGAGGCGGGGCCGGGGTGGGCGGGGGCGGAGGACGGGGCGGGGCCGGGAGCAAGGGGCGGGGCGGAGGGCGCCGCATGTCCTGGAACACTGAGGGGGCCGGGTGGGCGGGGCGGGCCGGAGGACAGGGCGGGGCCGGGAGCAAGGGGCGGGGCCAGGAGCAAGGGGGCGGGGCCGGGAGGGCGGAGGCGGGGCCGGGGTGGGCGGGGGCGGAGGACGGGGCGGGGCGGTGGGCGGGGCCGGGAGCAAGGGGCGGGGCCGGGAGCGAGGGGGCGGGGCTGGGAGGGCGGAGGCGGGGCCGGGGTGGGCGGGGGCGGAGGGCGGGGCGGGACCGGACGGGGCGGGCGGGCGGCGCCGCGTACCTGCTGCCAGGCTCCCACATGCCAGCGCGGCGGGCAGTCAAACTGATTGCAGGCCCGCAGCGCATGCGGCTTCTCCCCGGCGCACGCCTCCGGGGCCGCCGGGGAGGCCTCGGGGCGCAGGCAGCGCACCTCCCGGGTCTGGATCCCCACGCCGCAGGAGGCGGAGCACGGCCCCCAGGCCTCCGCCAGCCACCTGGGCAGAGGAGACGGAGGGGCCGGTGAGGGATGGGGGGAAGGAGGGAGGGGAGGAGGGAGAGGAGGAGGGAGGGGGGAGGACAGAGGGGGAGAGGGAGGGAGGGGGAGGGAGCCAGCGCAAGCCCGGTGGGAGAAGCTGGGTGAGACCAGCTGACCCATGGCCAGCCCTGCGCCCCGATGGTGGCCAGCCCTGCGCCCCGGATGGTGGCCAGCCCTGCGCCCCGGATGGTGGCCAGCCCTGCGCCCCGATGATGGCCAGCCCTGCGCCCAGATGGTGGCCAGCCCTGCGCCCCGGATGGTGGCCAGCCCTGCGCCCCGATGGTGGCCAGCCCTGCGCCCCAGATGTGTGCGCTTGGTGCCGTGTGCACAGGCCCCAGGGCCTCAATACCTCCTGAGAAAGCAACACAAAACCCTAAGAAAAGCCTCTCCCGTCAGGGCTGATTTACAGCACACGTGTAAGCCATTCCTCTCCAATAAGGTGTTGGGGAAACCAGGTTTGCTCCGAGACATCTGTAAAAAATGAGAACCAAGGCGGCTGCTCTGGATCCATCTTCCAAGGTGAGAGGCGCTGGCCCCGGGGCAGTCCGCAAAGGCCGATTCCAAATTCCGCCCAAGGGACGTCCAGAAATGCCTAGCAATCAAGGGCCAAAGTACACACATGTGTGCGCAGGAAGCATCACTGAGTGACCCAGCTCCTGGGAGGAAGAGGGGGTGAGGATTGCCCACGGAGGCTAGCCTTGTCTCTCCTCTCAGAGCCTGCTTCCTGCAAGATGGCTTTCCACATGCTCTGTGACAGTCTACTGGCGGCGAAGCCTCCTCCTGCGCTCAGCCGGACCCAGCGCTGAGAAGGGCTTCCTCCCACTCACTCACTCCTCCTAGCGACACAGCCAGCCCACGGCCCGCTGGCCTCCCCTGACCGCGAAGAGCAGCTCCACCAAGTGCGCTGTGCCAGGCCAGGCTGGCTGGCGCCCCTTCTGAGATATCCCAAGACAGTGGCCACCAGAGGAGGTGACGTGGCCCAGGCCGGCCGGTGCCCCTTCTGAGATATCCCAAGACAGTGGCCACCAGAGGAGGTGACGTGGCCCAGGCCGGCCGGCGCCCCTTCTGAGATATCCCAAGACAGTGGCCGCCGGAGGAGGCAACGTGGCCCAGGCCAGCCGGCGCCCCTTCTGAGATATCCCAAGATGGTGGCTGCCAGAGGAGGCGGACGTGGCTGCCAGAGGAGGCGGTCGTGGCCGGCATTGTGACTCTGTCTTGCGGTCTGTTTTGTCTTTGGAGCTGTGGTAACAATGAGCGCGGGTGTCCGTGTATTTCCTTCCTCGACTGTGTGACTCTGGATTCTGCTGCTCCAGCCCCCGGGCTCTTCGCAGCCATCTTCTCTGTGGCTGTCGGCAGCGTCCGTTTCTCTCTCCACTTTGTGGAGATTCACGGTAGAGTCTCCCCAGTAGCTCCCCCTCCTACCTCTTTTGCAAATCACCTTCATTCTGCGGTTTGTTCTAGACTTCTTTAGGTCACCTGTCCACATTACCTGTTGCTCCTACTCCATGGGTTTTGTTTACGTTACCATTTTAATGTCTGGATATCTCGTGATGAGTCATATAAGCTGACTGTATTTAATCTTTTTTGACTGATCAAATTTCTTCAAATGGTTTAACCTTGTATTTGGTTCTTTAAAAACAAATCTTCCAGGTGATTTTTAATTTTGGCAGCGCTAGGGTTTGAACTCGGGCCCTGGGTTGGCAGGCAGGTGCTCTAACATTGAGCCACAGCCTCAACCTTTCCAGCGGATACTTTGAGACAGGGTCTTGCTCCCTGCTGGATGTGTGTGGGGACATAATTGGCCTGTTCCAGACTTCCTGCTACTGCTGTAACAAAAGGCAGGAGGCCCCACATCCAGGGACCTCCAGGGTCTGCAGTCCAGGCCAGCCTGGCTAGGCAGGAGACGCGGCCCTCCCAACCTCAGCCCGCCACAGAGCCCCAGCCCACAGCAGAGCCCCGTGTGCGTGTGGGTGTGTGGTGATGGTGTATGTATGCTGGTGTGTGTGTGTGTGGTGATGGAGTGTGTGTATATGGTGTGTGTGATGGTGTGGTGTGTGTGTAGTGGTATGTGTGTATGTATATGGTGTGTGGTGAGGGTGTGTGTGTGGGATGTGTGTGATGGTGTGTGTGCTGATGGTGTGTGTATGGTGTGTGGTATATGGCGGTGTGTGTGGTGATGGAGGTGGTGTGTGTGGGTGTGTGTGTAGTGACGGTGATGGTGTGTGTGCTTGTGTGTGTGGTGCATGATGTGTGTGTGTGTGGTGTGTGGTGGTGGTGGTGGTGTGTGTGGTGTGTGTAGTGATGGTGATGGTGTGTGTGCTTGTGTGTGGGGTGTGTGTGTGTGTGTGTGTGTGCGCGCAGTGGTGATGGTGGTACTGAGGTGTGAACACAGGGCCCTGTAACACAGCTCAGTCCCAGCAGCTCTGCATGTGAGGAAAGTCACCAGGACAGCTACGACTGTCACATTTCTGATGAGGATCTGAGTTCGAGGCTGAAGGCTCAGAGGTCCTCGGTCACCCTGGTGCCACCCCACTAACACACTGCGGCCCGGCCACCTGCACACAGCCCTCGGCAGGAGCTACCGCGAGTCAGGATGCGCTGCGTGCAGCTGCGCCTCACTGAGGCAGATCCTAAAGACGAGGGAGGAGGGGCGAGGGGGCCCCAGCCCCGGCAGGGCTGAGCCCTGAGAGAGGAGGCTGTCCTCCCCACAACCTGCTCCTGTCTGCGAGCCGCTGGCTCCTTCCTGGAAAGAGCAAGCCCGTAAAGGGCCACGCTGGGAGGGGCCGCCCCAGGAGGGACTCAGCCCACCCCCTCCGGTCCAGCCACCGCAGCACACACATGGGTGGTAGGGTGAAGACCCGCGGTCCTCCACCCACTCCTGGGGTGACATTGCTGCTATTGCCCTTGGATTTGGTAAATATTTGTGTGGAAAATCTGAGGCAACCCGTTCCGCCTCTCCCGCAACACCAGCTTTCTCGAACCTCCACGCATTTTTGTAAACTTACCTTTATTTTGGCATCAACTCTTGGTCTCTCCTGGGCATTTCCCCCTCTAACTCTCAGCCTTTGCAATGACGAATGGACTTTGAAATGACGAGTAGCATTTCCTTTCACCTAAAAACACCCTTAATTTTGCAACGGGGCCAGGATACACTGCCTGCTGTGGCGCTATTTCCAGCAGAGCATCTCTGTGTGCAGAGGCTGCAGCACCGGGCTGCGTGAGCTCTCGCTCGGCGTCTGTGAGGACGGCGGGCATGCTGGACACAGCAGAGGGGTGAACCGGCCAGCGTGCTGCCCGCGCCTCCGCGCCGGCCCCGGGCGCGCCGGCCCCGGGCGCGCTGCCCGCCTGGCTGTGCTGGCCCCGGGCGCGCTGCCCGCCTGGCTGTGCTGGCCTGGGGCGCGCTGCCCGCCTGGCTGTGCTGTGCTGGCCCCGGACGCGCTGCCCGCCTGGCTGTGCTGTGCTGGCCCGGGTCGCGCTGCCCGCCTGGCTGTGCTGGCCCCGGACGCGCTGCCCGCCTGGCTGTGCTGTGCTGGCCTGGGGCGCGCTGCCCGCCTGGCTGTGCTGGCCCCGGACGCGCTGCCCGCCTGGCTGTGCTGGCCCCGGGCGCGCTGCCCGCCTGGCTGTGCCGGCCCCGGGCGCGCTGCCCGCCTGGCTGTGCTGTGCTGGCCCCGGGCGCGCTGCCCGCCTGGCTGTGCTGGCCCCGGGCGCGCTGCCCACCTGGCTGTGCTGTGCTGGCCTGGGGCGTGCTGCCCGCCTGGCTGTGCTGTGCTGGCCCCGGGCGCGCTGCCCGCCAGGCTGTGCCGTGCCGGCCCCGGACGCGCTGCCCGCCTGGCTGTGCTGTGCTGGCCCCGGGCGCGCTGCCCGCCTGGCTGTGCTGGCCCCGGGCGCGCTGTCCACCTGGCTGTGCTGTGCTGGCCCGGGGCGCGCTGCCCGCCTGGCTGTGCCGGCCCGGGGGGCGCTGCCCGCCTGGCTGTGCTGGCCCCGGGCACGCTGCCCGCCTGGCTGTGCTGGCCCCGGGCACGCTGCCCACCTGGCTGTGCTGTGCTGGCCCCGGGCGCGCTGCCCGCCTGGCTGTGCTGGCCCCGGACGCGCTGCCCGCCTGGCTGTGCCGGCCCGGGGGGCGCTGCCCGCCTGGCTGTGCTGGCCCCGGGCGCGCTGCCCGCCTGGCTGTGCTGGCCCCGGGCGCGCTGCCCGCCTGGCTGTGCTGGCCCCGGGCACTCTGCCCGCCTGGCTGTGCTGTGCTGGCCCCGGGCGCGCTGCCCGCCTGGCTGTGCTGGCCCCGGACGCGCTGCCCGCCTGGCTGTGCCGGCCCGGGGCGCGCTGCCCGCCTGGCTGTGCCGGCCCGGGGGGCGCTGCCCGCCTGGCTGTGCTGGCCCCGGGCACGCTGCCCGCCTGGCTGTGCTGGCCCCGGGCACGCTGCCCGCCTGGCTGTGCTGTGCTGGCCCCGGGCGCGCTGCCCGCCTGGCTGTGCTGGCCCCGGACGCGCTGCCCGCCTGGCTGTGCCGGCCCGGGGGGCGCTGCCCGCCTGGCTGTGCTGGCCCCGGGCGCGCTGCCCGCCTGGCTGTGCTGGCCCCGGACGCGCTGCCCGCCTGGCTGTGCCGTGCCGGCCCCGGGCGCGCTGCCCGCCTGGCTGTGCTGTGCTGGGTGGAGGAGGAGACTGGCACACTGTACTCCCTCCGTGACCTCTGGGCAAGTCAGCTTTGCCTGAGCCGCCACTCTAAGAACCCTGGCAAGCCCTCGCGCTGTACAACACGACCCTTCTATTTTACACTTCTCATGCAGCAGGGATGACAGGTGTGTGCCACCACGCCCAGCAAAGGTTGTGCGTCATTTATCATTATGAAGTTTCTGGATAAATATAAGGTTATTGGTAAGAATGAGTGCTGGGCCCTGGTGGCTCACGCCTGCCATCCTAGCTACCAGGAGGCTGAGATCTGAGGATCATGGTTCAAAACCAGCCTGGGCGGGAAAGTCGTGAGACTCTTATCTCCAATAAACCATCCAAAACAGGGAAGTGGTGCTGTGGCTCAAAATGGCAGAGTGTGAACCTTGAGCAAAAAACAGCTCAGAGAAAATGCCCAGGCCCTGAGTTCAAGCCCCGTGACAAGAAGGAGGAGGAGGAAGAGAGGAGGAGGAGGAGGAGGAAGGGGGGGGAGGAGGAGGAGGAGGGGGGAAGGAGGAGGAGGAGGGGAGGAGGAGGAGGGGAGGAAAAGGAGGAGGAGGGGAGGAGGAGGAGGAGGAGAAAGAGTAGAGGAGGAGGAGGAGGAGGAGGGGAGGAGAAGGAGGAGGAGGGGAGGAGGAGGAGGAGAAAGAGTAGAGGAGGAGGAGGAGGAGGAGGAGGAGGAGGAGGAGGAGTAGAGGAGGAGGAGGTAGAGGAGGAAGAGAGAAGGAAGAGAGGAGGAGGAGGGGAGGAGGAGGAGGAAGAGAAAGAGTAGAGGAGGAGGAGGAGGAGGAGGGGAGGAGAAGGAGGAGGAGGGGAGGAGGAGGAGGAGAAAGAGTAGAGGAGGAGGAGGAGGAGGAGGAGGAGGAGGAGGAGGAGTAGAGGAGGAGGAGGTAGAGGAGGAAGAGAGAAGGAAGAGAGGAGGAGGAGGGGAGGAGGAGGAGGAGGAGAAAGAGTAGAGGAGGAGGAGGAGGAGGAGGGGAGGAGAAGGAGGAGGAGGGGAGGAGGAGGAGGAGAAAGAGTAGAGGAGGAGGAGGAGGAGGAGGAGGAGGAGGAGGAGGAGTAGAGGAGGAGGAGGTAGAGGAGGAAGAGAGAAGGAAGAGAGGAGGAGGAGGGGAGGAGGAGGAGGAAGAGAAAGAGTAGAGGAGGAGGAGGAGGAGGAGGAGGAGGGGAGGAGGAGGAGGAGAAAGAGTAGAGGAGGAGGAGGAGGAGGAGGAGGAGCTACTTTTCACCAAGTGATAACACTTAGGGCAGTAGGATTCAAACTTGCCTGCTTCCAGCCTCTGCCTGCGTCTTGTCTCACCGCATGGTACACTGAGCTTCTAGAACTCGGAGGCTTTGGGCACGCAGCTCCCCCTGCCTCCAGCATCCCTCCTCTCCCCTTGGGGCTCACCTGTCCTCGAAGCCCCGCGCATGCGTCCGAGGCCTTCTCCGACCACCTGCCCCGCCCCACCCTGCAGCAGTGGTTTTTAGGTGATTGATTCTTGCGTTGGAGACTCTGGTGTGTTGTAGCATTCATTTTTGCGAACTTGAACTTAGAGCCTTGGGGTTGTGAGGGCTCTGTGGCATTCACCCACAGTCCAAGACCTGAGGCTAAGCCAGCGAGCTGCAGGTCACAAAAGGAGGGTACCGCTGTCGCTGGCAAAACTCAGGCCCCCGAGTCACACAGGGCCGAGCGCGGCTGTGAGGAGGGCAGGGAGCAGCGAATGGCGGGGTGGGCCCGGTGGGCCGCAGACGCCCACACATGGGAGGCTCTCGCGGGGCCCAGCTCATCGCAGGAGCCCAGGCGGCGCTTACCTGGGCGGGCAGGGCCCCGTGTTGCACGCCTGGCTCATGGCGGGGGGACGGTGGACCTGGTCACACAAGCTGTCGTTGACCGCCTGCTGGGTCTGCGTGTGTAAGCACACGGCTATGGCTTCCTGGAGGCCTGGGGAGGAGAGGACCGATGCAAAAGGCGCTGAACGGCTCACACTCCTGGGGGAGCCCGGTTCCGAGCTCAACACGGGCAGAAGCGGCGGCTCACACTCCTGGGGGAGCCCGGTTCCGAGTTCAACACTGGCCACCGGCAGGAGCAGCGGTGTGAGCGGCCGGGCCCACAGCTCCTCCCCTCTTCTGACCACCGGCAGGGTGCGCACGAACTGGACACACGGGCAGAAAGCCCTCGTCCTGGCCCCGGGTGGCCAGCCAGCCTGGGCATCCTGGGGTTACTACCGGCCCCCACGCCCCGCTGGTCAGCGCTGGGGCTGGAGAAGGCGGCTCCCTGGGCTGCCGCTCCCTGCTCAGCCACTTGCTTCGGATCTCAGACCACGTCCACAGTCCCAGAGCCAACTTCGCACCCTTACAGGGCCACCTGGCTGTCCAGGTGTATTTTAGCCTAACAAGGTCTTCTGGCTGTGTGTGCAACTGCCCCTTACACACACAAGCACACATACACACACACACATGCACACACATACACATACACACAGGTGCACACACATGCACACATGCACACACACATGCACACACATACACACATGTGCACACACATGCACACATGCAGGCACACATGCACACACACATACACACATGCACACACACACATGCACGCATGCACACACATATGCACACACACACATACACACATACACACACACATGCACACACACACACACACACATACACACAGAAATCTGGTGGCTGGCCCTGTGTGCGGCCGCAGGTAAGGGAGGGATCCAGTGGAACCCCTCACCACGCACCCAGGCTGCCTCCACACCCGGACAGACTCCACCAGACACGCCTCCACTCACCCGCCCTGCGGCGGCCGCCCATCCCGTATTACGCCAGCTAAGTGAATGCTTGGCCCAAAGCCACTTACTTCGTTAAACAGAATCCCACTATCCACAACAAACATCTCCCACGCTACAAAAGACAGGCGCGGGCTGCCTTGAATGCACGCGCCTCCCTTAGCTGTTTCTCAAACTTGGTTTACCCAAGCGATGGTTTCTTAGATCAGAAGCCAGATGCCCCCGTCCACCCTGGGGGAGGGTGCGGGTCCCCCATCCATCCTGGGGGAGGGTGTGGGTCCCCCCGTCCACCAGAGGGAGGGTGCAGGCCCCCCCGTCCACCCTGGGGGAGGGTGCGGGTCCCTCCCCCGTCCACCCTGGGGGAAGGTGTGGGTCCCCCAGGCACCCACCCGTCCACCCTGGGGGAGGGTGCAGGTCCCTCCCCGTCCACCCTGGGGGAGGGTGTGGGTCCCCCAGGCACCCACCCGTCCACCCTGGGGGAGGGTGCAGGTCCCCCATCCATCCTGGGGGAGGGTGTGGGTCCCCCCGTCCACCGGAGGGAGGGTGCAGGCCCCCCCGTCCACCCTGGGGGAGAGTGTGGGTCCCCCAGGCCCCCTTGTCCACCCTGGGGGAAGGTGTGGGTCCCCCAGGCCCCCTTGTCCACCCTGGGGGAGGGTGTGGGTCCCCCGGCCCCCCGTCCACCCTGGGGGAGGGTGCGGGTCTCCCCTTGTCCACCCTGGGGGAGGGTGTGGGTCCCCCAGGCCCCCTTGTCCACCCTGGGGGAGGGTGTGGGTCCCCCGGCCCCCCGTCCACCCTGGGGGAGGGTGCGGGTCCCCCCTTGTCCACCCTGGGGGAAGGTGTGGGTCCCACAGCCTCCCGGTCCACCCTGGGGGAGGGTGCGGGTTCCCCCTTGTCCACCCTGGGGGAGGGTGTGGGTCCCCCAGGCCCCCCGTCCACCCTGGGGGAGGGTGTGGGTCCCCCAGCCCCCCTCCATCCACCCTGGGGGAGGGTGCGGGTCCCCCAGCCCCCCCCGTCCACCCTGGGGGAGGGTGCGGGTCCCCCAGCCCCCCCTGTCCACCCTGGGGAGGACGCAGTACCTCCCAGGCATGTGGCTGTGCACGGGGTAAAGCCGGCATATTCCCAGCCGTAGGTGGTCTCGCCGTCCTGCGGAGCGCCGCTGGGCTCTGGGGCTGCAGGGTCCGGGCCGCAGGCCTGTAGCAGGCAGGGCCGCTCCGTGGCCAGCCGGGGCCCCCTCGCACTCCTCGGCCGGCAGCTCAGTCTCCGCCCGCGTGAACGTGAGGAGCGCTCGGCACTTCACCTCCCGCACCTGCACACCGGGGCCGCACGTGGCACTGCAGGCTGACCAGGGGCCCGGGACAAACCTGCGGGAGAGCAGGGGGCCGGGGGAGCTGAGCCCAGAGGGGACCCGGCTCCACACATTCAGAAAGCTGTGGCTTTGGCAAACAAGCCTGCAGAGCTTAGACACAGTGGAAAGAGTTCCTCTTGAAGAGTTACACAACCTTTGCGCCCACCAGGCCTGACCAAAAGCCTTCCTGCTCAGGGTCCTGGTTGTGAGTCTGGTCCCTTTGGCCAGGAAGCCAGTGGAGGGCCGGGAGGAGCTGGAGCTCTCCGAGGTTCTGACTGCGAAGCTGGCCAGCTGCAGGCCGCGCTGGGTGCAAAGGCAGCTGTGGGTTCCTGGAGGCCGGCCGTGCAAGGGCCTTGGACTGCCAGCCCTGCCCACCGCCTCCTGCCACCGCACCGCCGGCCGACACCAGGGCCCCCAGGCTGCCATGCTTTCTGGGCTGGGCTTCTCTCTTCCCCCGCTGCCCTGCCCTCGGCTCTGAGCGTGTTCTGAGCTGAGCACCACCCCGATGGAGCCGTCTTTGTCTTCCTCTGGTCTGCTTTCCTAAGCTGTGGTCTGCTCGCTATTCAAGCGTGGGAGCCTCCCCGTGGCCCCGGCTCGAGCGCTGGACCATTGACTCACGCAGACTCCCCAGAGGCCACGGCTCAGTGCAAACATCACACCATAAAGAAAAGAAGGGAAAAGGATGGGAGTAGCGTTTTTAGCAGCAGGTGTGGGATAGAAGGGCTGCCCCAGCACCCACGCTCCAGAAGGAAATCCGACAGGAGGCGCGAGCCAGAGACGCCCCTCGAGTGGTCAGTCTGCCCGAGACGGCCAGGGACGTGCCACCGAGAGCCCCGGCGGCCCGGTCACAGCTCACGCTCACACACAGACCGCAGAAAGCCAGAAGGAACGGTGCAGTGTAGCAAGGCGGCGATCACACCACTTCTAGAACTTTCCATGGTGAGGCAGAAAGGTGTGATTGTCGCTTCCAGATTTAAAAAGTAGTGATTATATCACCTTAAAGACTGGTGACATCACTTCCAGAACTTTCTTCAGTGAGGCCGTTCCATCTCTAAAATCACTAGCAAAAAGCCGGGCTGCAGGCTTGCTTTCAGGGGTAGGGTGCCAGCCACGGGGGTGTGGCCCCCGTGTGTTCAAGCCCCAGGACCATCAATGCCCCGTAAAAAAGAACCCTAAAGCCCTGCAGAGCCCCTGGCTTAGCCTCGAGGCTGCGATCTCATTTTCCTGATTAAAACAAAGCCTTCTGCACATCTTCCCTCTGTAGATCAGGGCTGGGGCGGCGACAGGCCACAGGGACCAAAGTGTGCTCCTGCAGCCTCCCGGAGGAAGCACAGCAACTCTGTCCACAGCCAGACCCCCAAACCACACGGTCCAAAAAGGACGGACGGACGGACAGACGCACAGATGGGCTGTGGTCTGTCTAGAAATGGCGAGTGCAGATCAACCCAGAAGTGGAAGGAAAATAAACTGACACCGGAGGGCAGGGACAGGACAGGCCAACCGCGCGGCCGGGAGCTGCCCAGAAGGCCGAGGAGGCCGGGGCTCGCACCCCAGGGGGGATGCGGGCCCGGCGGAACCCGGGTGGGCGGGTGACGACGCGGGCAGGTCCACTGATGCCCACCCTGGCCACCCTCGCCAACTCCTCAGCTCAGTAACCGTTTCGTTTTCTGATTCAGCGTCTGCTGACCTGGATGGGCTGTGTGCGTGGGACGGTTCACGTCTGCCTGGCGTGCAGAGCTGGGTGAGCTGCGGGCGGGAAGCCGCCACACTGACCTGACCCGGGTGAGCTGCGGGCGGGAAGCCGCCACACTGAGCTGTGAGCTGCGGGCGGGAAGCCGCCACACTGACCTGACCTGGGTGAGCTGCGGGCGGGAAGCCGCCACACTGACCTGACCCGGGTGAGCTGCGGGCAGGAAGCCGCCACACTGACCTGTGAGCTGCGGGCAGGAAGCCGCCACACTGACCCGGGTGAGCTGCGGGCGGGAAGCCGCCACACTGACCTGACCCGGGTGAGCTGCGGGCGGGAAGCCGCCACACTGACCTGACCCCGGTGAGCTGCGGGCGGGAAGCCGCCACACTGACCTGACCCGGGTGAGCTGTGGGCGGGAAGCCGCCACACTGACCTGACCCGGGTGAGCTGCGGGCGGGAAGCCGCCACACTGACCTGACCCGGGTGAGCTGCGGGTGGGAAGCCGCCACACTGACCTGACCCGGGTGAGCTGCGGGCGGGAAGCCACCATACTGACCTGGGTGAGCTGCGGGCGGGAAGCCACCACACTGACCTGTGAGCTGCGGGCGGGAAGCCGCCACACTGACCTGGGTGAGCTGCGGGCGGGAAGCCGCCACACTGACCTGACCCGGGTGAGCTGCGGGCGGGAAGCCGCCACACTGACCTGACCCCGGTGAGCTGCGGGCGGGAAGCCGCCACACTGACCTGACCCGGGTGAGCTGCGGGCGGGAAGCCGCCACACTGACCTGACCCGGGTGAGCTGCGGGCGGGAAGCCACCACACTGACCTGTGAGCTGCGGGCGGGAAGCCGCCACACTGACCTGACCCGGGTGAGCTGCGGGAGGGAAGCCACCACACTGACCCGGGTGAGCTGCGGGCGGGAAGCCGCCACACTGACCCGGGTGAGCTGTGGGCGGGAAGGCGCCACACTGACCTGACCTGGGTGAGCTGCGGGCAGGAAGCCGCCACACTGACCTGTGAGCTGCAGGCGGGAAGCCGCCACACTGACCCGGGTGAGCTGTGGGCGGGAAGCCGCCACACTGACCTGACCTGGGTGAGCTGCGGGCAGGAAGCCGCCACACTGACCTGTGAGCTGCGGGCGGGAAGCCACCACATTGACCTGGGTGAGCTGCGGGCGGGAAGCCGCCACACTGACCCGGGTGAGCTGTGGGCGGGAAGCCGCCACACTGACCTGACCTGGGTGAGCTGCGGGCAGGAAGCCGCCACACTGACCTGTGAGCTGCAGGCGGGAAGCCGCCACACTGACCTGTGAGCTGCGGGCGGGAAGCCGCCACACTGACCTGTGAGCTGCGGGCGGGAAGCCGCCACACTGACCCGGGTGAGCTGCGGGCGGGAAGCCGCCACACTGACCTGTGAGCTGCGGGCGGGAAGCCGCCACACTGACCCAGGTGAGCTGTGGGCGGGAAGCCGCCACACTGACCTGTGAGCTGCGGGCGGGAAGCTGCCACACTGACCTGACCCGGGTGAGCTGCGGGCAGGAAGCCGCCACACTGACCTGTGAGCTGCGAGCGGGAAGCCGCCACACTGACCCGGGTGAGCTGTGGGCGGGAAGCCGCCACACTGACCAACATCTGGGGACTGAAAACGCAGGGCTAGCCGCACGCAGAGCGAGGCGTGGCGCGAGACGCCTCCTAAATGAAGGTTATGGGTGAGGGCACATGGCATGTGCAGAAGCAAGGGGGGGACTCCTGTCAGAAGTGGGGGGACTCCTGTCAGAAGTGGGGGGACGCCTGTCAGCAGTGGGGGGACTCCTGTCAGAAGTGGGGGGACTCCTGTCAGAAGTGGGGGGACGCCTGTCAGCAGTGGGGGGCGTCTGTCAGAAGTGGGGGGACTCCTGTCAGAAGTGGGGGGACGCCTGTCAGAAGTGGGGGGACTCCTGTCAGAAGTGGGGGGACGCCTGTCAGAAGTGGGGGGCGCCTGTCAGAAGCGGGGGGACGCCTGTCAGAAGCGGGGGGACGCCTGTCAGAAGTGGGGGGACGCCTGTCAGAAGTGGGGAGCGCCTGTCAGAAGCGGGGGGACGCCTGTCAGAAGCGGGGGGAAGCCTGTCAGAAGTGGGGGGACTCCTGTCAGAAGTGGGGGGCGCCTGTCAGAAGTGGGGTGATGCCTGTCAGAAGCGGGGGGACGCCTGTCAGAAGTGGGGGGCGCCTGTCAGAAGTGGGGTGACGCATGTCAGAAGTGGGGGGATGCCTGTCAGAAGTGGGGGACTCCTGTCAGAAGTGGGGGGACGCCTGTCAGAAGCGGGGGGACGCCTGTCAGAAGTGGGGGACTCCTGTCAGAAGTGAGGGACTCCTGTCAGAAGTGGGGAGCGCCTGTCAGAAGCAGGGGGACGCCTGTCAGAAGTGGGGTGACGCCTGTCAGAAGTGGGTGACGCCTGTCAGAAGTGGGGTGACGCCTGTCAGAAGTGGGGGGCACGCACGCCTATCAGCTCAGCGGAGCAGAGGCCGGCACTTCCCGAGGGGGAGCCTGGGCCCTGGGAGCCGTGAGCCAGCCACAGCACCGGGCAGTGACCGAGAAGACAGAGGTGAGCTTGGAAGGGAAGCTTCTGGAAAGACTAGGAAGGATGAGCTTGGAAGGGACAAAGCTCTTGGAGGCTCAAGCTCTCTGGGGTCTGCAGATCCAGATCATTTGGACACTAAATGAATCTCTGTATCCAAAGAGTACTGAACACTCACAGATGTAGCTAGCCACCCTGTGGGTCAGGCCATACCCTGGACCCTCCCCCACGACCCTCCCCCGTGGGCCTCTCCTGTGGGCCTCCCCCGCAGCCCTCCCCCGCGGGCCTCTCCTGAGGGCCTCCCCGCAGCCCACCCCCGCGGGCCTCTCCTGAGGGCCTCTCCCCTCCCCCACGACCCTCCCCCGCAGCCCTCCCCCACAGGCCTCTCCTGAGGGCCTCTCCTGCAGGCCTCTCCTGAGGGCCTCCCCTGCGGGCCTCTCCTGAGGGCCTCCCTTGGGCCTCCCCCGAGGCCCTCCCCCGAGGCCCTCCCCCACAGCCTGCACTCACGTGGGGTCCTCGGTCACTATCCTCATCTCCTCTCGCTCCTGGGCTTGCTTCAACCATGGCAGCGCAGCACCCCCTGGATCTCTTTCTAGGAGAAAAGGAGCACCAACAACAAGCTCAGTGACTGGATCACAGAGCTCAGATGCCCCGCCACCATGAAGGATCCACAAACGAAGAAGGAGGAGGAGGAGAAGAAGGAAGAAGAAGAAGAGGAGGAGGAGGAGGAGGAGGAAGAGAAAGAGGAAGAAAAAAAAAAGAGGAGGAGGAGGAGGGGGAGGGGGAGGAAGAGGAGGAGGAAGAGGAGGAGGAGGAGGAAGAGGAGGGGGGGAGGAGGAAGAGGAGGATGAAGAAGCAGCAGCAGCAGCAGCAGCTCTTTCCAAATGTGAGCTGCGCCCTCTGGAGTCTTCTGCCATGAGTAAAGGTTTCAGCTATTTAAAACCAGACAGACAATTCGAGGCACAGGAGGGACGCCGCCAGCGCCCAGCAGCTGCCTCGGAGGGGCTCAAAGCTGCCTTCATAACGGGCGACTCGGGCTCCAGCGCCCAGCAGCCGCCTCGGAGGGGCTCAAGGCTGCCTTCGTAACGGGCGACTCGGGCTCCAGCGCCCAGCAGCCGCCTCGGAGGGGCTCAAGGCTGCCTTCGTAACGGGCGACTCGGGCTCCAGCGCCCAGCAGCCGCCTCGGAGGGGCTCAAGGCTGCCTTCGTAACGGGCGACTCGGGCTCCAGCGCCCAGCAGCCGCCTCGGAGGGGCTCAAGGCTGCCTTCGTAACGGGCGACTCGGGCTCCAGCGCCCAGCAGCCGCCTCGGAGGGGCTCAAGGCTGCCTTCGTAACGGGCGACTCGGGCTCTCGGCACAGGAGGGCTCTGCTGCGAGACACGCTTGCTTTTCCTTGCTGCGAACGCATCTTGCCCGCAGGACGCAGAAACCAGCAGAGGAAAGCCCAAAGCTCGGATGTCATTAGAGCTCCTGGATGAGGGAGGACCGCCCGCCACGCGGGGGGAGGAGGAGCTCCGCAGGCCTCTCCCCGGGGCCCTCACCTCGGGGCTTGTGGCAGGGGACGGGGACCGTGCACGCACCCCAGGGCCCTCACCTCGGGGCTTGTGGCAGGGGACGGGGACCGTGCATGCACCCCGGGGCCCTCACCTCGGGGCTTGTGGCAGGGGACCGGCACCACGCACTCCTCCTTGATGTGCGGCTTCAGCTGTGGCTTACAGCCGCCCACGTGCTGGCCGCGGTGGCTGACGCACAGCACAACTCTGTAGCGCAGGCCTCGCCCGCAGGTCACCGTGCACTGCAGAGGGAAGAGTCCGGGGCTGTGAAGGGATCGGGCATCCCACACAGGCCCAGGAGGGGTCACGTTGCTTCTTACACGTAGCAGAAACACTAATGAGTTCTGAGTTGCGAGATTGAGATTCGTGTTTGCTCCTCTCTGCAAGTCTGGTTTTTTGGGGGGTGGGGGGGCGTGGCGTGGGGCCGGGACTGGGGCTTGAACCCTCGGCCTCCTGCTCTCGGCTGCTTCACCCACAGCGGCACTCTGACACTCAAGCCACACCACCAGTGCTGGAAATCACATTTCTAACGCCGCGTCGGCACCTTCAGCCTTAACCCTCCGGCCCTGAGCGGCACGGTGCCCTCTTCAGCCCAGAGGGATCTGTCCTGGTCCCGGCTGGTTGCCCCGGCTCCGCCCAGCCTCCGGCCCTGGGGTCTCGTCTGTTTGTGCACCGCAAGGGCAGCAAAGCTCTCCACAGACTCTGCCGCGGCAGCTGTTCCTCACCCAGGTCCTCAGCAGGAATACCCCACGCCGACGCCCCGCACGCGGCCTCTCCTCCACTCGCCCGCCTTCCAGATCATTCTGGAAGCACGGCCTGTATCCACACACGCTGTGCGGTCCACGCCGGGGCCCGGCGACGCCCCCTAGGCTCTGCGGTTGCGGGAGAGCAGTGCCTCACCTCAGACCAGTCCATGGCAATCCACTTGGGGCAGTCGAAGAGGTTGCAGGTCTGCATCACCTTGGGCTTGGGCGCGTACATGCACTTCCACTCCTCCACCTGCAGGACCTCGGCGTGCAGCGACTCCTCCACGCACACGAAGCTCCGCCGCTGGGTCCCGCCCCCGCAGGACACGGAGCACGCCGTCCAGGGGTTGTGCTCCCAGCTGAAAAACAAACAACCCACGACTCACTCACCGGCATCCGCCCGCCCCGGCGCGCCAAGACGCCAGGACAGGATCAGGCCAGGGAGCACCGATCCAGAGCCCAAAGACTCTGGCCCAGCGTCCCGGGGATTCACCGCGTTGGGACCCCAGGCTCCTGTAGTTCCCACACCCCTCTCTCCTCCCCAGGACACTGTGAGGATCAAGTCAACTGAAGCATTCCTTGTAAGAGGGATGGAGCAGACTGCTGAGAACCACAGCAAAGTCAAAGTCAGAAAGAACCAAGGCGGTGTCTGGGCGTCATATGCACGTTCTGATCAACGGCATGACCTCCAGCCCTGCTAGGAGGCCCAGCTGTCCAAGGGACGCTGGCATCTCCGGCCACGGGAAACACGGCTGTCACAGACAGTGCAGCCCCTCTGTCTCCTAGAAAGGACTTGCTCCCAAGCCCTCTGTCTCCCAGCTCTGAGGAAGACGTGGCTGCTGCAGATACAGACGCTGAACACCCCGCGTGCCACTCAGAGTACAAACACAAGACAGAGCAGGAAAAGCGTGGCTCACCGGGGCAGGGGCTGGAAGTGGTCATAGGGCATGATCTCCTTAAATCCATCGCTGCAAATGAGATGGGGGGAGAACATTGAACTTAGTAGGGCAACACACATTTGACATTGCAAGAGACAAAGCTCCTTCAAGCTGGAAGCTAAAAACGTCAAGTGTGAGGAACTACTCCCCAAAATTCAGACAGCCAGGTGTGGTGGGGCATGCCTACCAGCCCAGTCCTTTCAGAAGTCTGAGTTCCACTTCAGACAAAGACACAAACTGTCCCCAGCGGAACAGGAAAACACAGGAAACCGAACTGGTCCGTTCATGAACTAAAGGGGTGGGGGGTGGGAAAAACCTTCATTTGGCTAAATCTACTCCTTTTCATCACCTGAATAAATACTGAGAATACTTGCACAGTTTTCTGGAATTCAGCAGAACACCATTTCACAGTCATCAGCCCCTGAGAGCTCGCGACTAATAATCGTGTTCAGGAGGTTATCAGTAATCACCTTTGGGGGGTTATCAGTAATTGAATTCAGGAGGTTATTGATAATTGTGCTCTAGAGGGCTGTTGGTATGTGTTCGGAAGGGTTACCAAAACAGGCAGAGTAGGGTAGGAAATGAAGTCTGCTCTCAGGCGGCCGGGGCCAGCTGGGGAGTGTCAGATACGGGGCTGTTATTTTCAGATGCTGCAGCAGAGCCAGAAAGCTCCCATGGGAATCCAAGTGAGCGGATACTAAATTACCCAGCAAGACGGTTGATGCAAAGCGCTCTGCTTTTGTGTGAAAACATTTTGCTTCCTTCCACCATGATTTGTTTATACTGAATTGAACATGAGCACTTTCAAAAGTCGGAACCTTGTAGCAGGTGCCCCTGTTCAAAGGCTAAGATGGAGGGCGAAAGACAGGTATTTACGGATTGGACACCGTAGTGAATTAAGAGATCTTTAATACTGGACCACAAGAATTGGCCCAAAAGGCCCATTACAAAGCACTAGGGACCCTTCATCCACAGGGAGGAATCGCCCCGAATGACCAGATCAGCACAGACCCAGTGCTATGGTAAGACCTCCTTTCAACAGAAAAGGCAGAGGGTGGCTGAGTGCGGCCATCCAGCTATGGTGGAAAGCATAAATAGGTAGATCATGGTCCAGGCCGACTCGGGGCCAAACGCGAACTCCTATCTCAAAACTAACCAGAGCAGAGAGGACTACAGGGGCAGTCCAGGTGGGAAAGCTGGCCACGTGAACACAGAGCCCCGAGTTCAAATCCCAGGGCCACTGTACACATAAATACACAAAGAAATGCAAGTAAACAAACAGGTGAGTGGGAGTCGGGGCGGGTGGCGCAGACCTGGACGGGCAGGGGTCCATGCCGCACTCCTTCAGCTTCGGCTTGGGCTTGACATTCTCGGGGTAGTAGTGGCAGTAGTGGTCGGGAACCACTCTCCTCAAGCGGACGTCCACGCACTCGGCAGAGTTGAGCTGGTAGCCTGCGGGCGGGGGGTGGGGGGGGTGGGGGGAGGGTTGTGGGGGGGGTGTACACGCAGCGTGTGCAGCTCTGGCCGCACCCTGCTTTCTCGTTACACCCCGAAGGGAGGGACGTGACCTGCATCCCGGGGGGCCCCAGCTCCCCTGCGGATGTCAAGGGAGCCAGGCTCACAAGTGTCCGAGGGAAGAATGGCTGGGGTCTGGCGGGGCCCGGGGGCTGAGGTCCAGCTCTGCGGACCTGCCCCGGCTGCACCACCTCCCGTCCAGGTGCGGTGGGCGGAGCGTGGACACGGAGGGAACGCGGGAGTGGGTTGATCCCATCCGTGTATGACACATGCGTGTGTGCCGTGCCATGGTGAAACCCCTCGGACATGAGAACCATCAGGCCGCACCAAAACCCCGACACCGCACACGCGTGATTTCTAGATGTTCATGGGGAAGCCGGCTCACCTCCTCCACACGTCACGGTGCAGGGGAAAAAGTCGGTCTGTCTCCACTGGTGACTGATGGGCTGGTAAAAGAAGAACTGGACGGTGCTGTCCTTGGCCACTGTGTACCTGGTCTGGACAGAGAGAACCGTGAGGCCGTGTTTGTATTTGCACATGCGTGTACCTGGTCTGGACAGAGAACCATGAGGCCATGTTTGCACGTGAGAACCACGCTTCCCGCACCTTCAAAATGAAATACACTTTCTCCCACTGCAGGCGACCCCAGGTGGGTCCACTGAACCCAGACGCGAGGACCCCGGGGGTGGAGATGTGGGGGCATCTCACTCGGGGCCCCGAGTCGTCATTCCAGAAAAATCCACGCCTGTGAGCAGATTCACGTGAAGGCACGTGGATTTGTGTACTTATTTAGCCTTTTTATTTCCTCTAATATATGATCTTACTTCCCGAGCAAGAGAGGGTGAGGCTCAGCATGGGCTTTTCCGTGGCGTGAAACCAGCTCCCCTTGCCTGTTATCAGGGTAACGTCTTTAAGCAGCTTTCTGGAAAACCACTCCAAGGCCCAGGAGGAGAAAGTCGCTGGGAGCCCGGCTTGCGTGTGAACGCGCCATGTGCAGTGGCGTCAGGGGCAGAGGGGGCAGGGGGGGCTCCTCCCCAGATCCCGTCCCCAGCAAAGCTCCGCCCACCCCAGCAAGCGCTCCGCCCACCCCCAGAAAGCGCTCCGCCCACCCCCAGCAAAGCTCCGCCCACCCCCAGCAAGCGCTCCGCCCACCCCCAGCAAAGCTCCGCCCACCCCAGCAAGCGCTCCGCCCACCCCCAGCAAGCGCTCCGCCCACCCCCAGCAAAGCTCCGCCCACCCCAGCAAGCGCTCCGCCCACCCCCAGCAAGCGCTCCGCCCACCCCCAGCAAAGCTCCGCCCACCCCAGCAAGCGCTCCGCCCACCCCCAGCAAAGCTCCGCCCACCCCCAGCAAAGCTCCGCCCACCCCCAGCAAAGCTCCGCCCACCCCCAGCAAGCGCTCCGCCCACCCCCAGCAAAGCTCCGCCCACCCCCAGCAAGCGCTCCGCCCACCCCCAGCAAAGCTCCGCCCACCCCCAGAAAAGCTCCGCCCACCCCAGCAAGCGCTCCGCCCACCCCCAGCAAGCGCTCCGCCCACCCCCAGCAAAGCTCCGCCCACCCCCAGCAAGCGCTCCGCCCACCCCCAGAAAGCGCTCCGCCCACCCCCAGAAAGCGCTCCGCCCACCCCCAGCAAAGCTCCGCCCACCCCAGCAAGCGCTCCGCCCACCCCCAGCAAGCGCTCCGCCCACCCCCAGCAAAGCTCCGCCCACCCCCAGCAAGCGCTCCGCCCACCCCCAGCAAGCGCTCCGCCCACCCCCAGCAAAGCTCCGCCCACCCCCAGCAAGCGCTCCGCCCACCCCCAGCAAAGCTCCGCCCACCCCCAGAAAGCGCTCCGCCCACCCCCAGCAAAGCTCCGCCCACCCCCAGCAAAGCTCCGCCCACCCCCAGCAAAGCTCCGCCCACCCCACAGCAAGCGCTCCGCCCACCCCCAGCAAAGCTCCGCCCACCCCCAGCAAGCGCTCCGCCCACCCCCAGCAAGCGCTCCGCCCACCCCCAGCAAGCGCTCCGCCCACCCCCAGCAAAGCTCCGCCCACCCCAGCAAGCGCTCCGCCCACCCCCAGAAAGCGCTCCGCCCACCCCCAGCAAAGCTCCGCCCACCCCCAGCAAGCGCTCCGCCCACCCCCAGCAAAGCTCCGCCCACCCCAGCAAGCGCTCCGCCCACCCCCAGCAAGCGCTCCGCCCACCCCCAGCAAAGCTCCGCCCACCCCAGCAAGCGCTCCGCCCACCCCCAGCAAAGCTCCGCCCACCCCAGCAAGCGCTCTGCCCACCCCCAGCAAAGCTCCGCCCACCCCCAGTAAGCGCTCCGCCCACCCCACAGCAAGCGCTCCGCCCACCCCCAGCAAAGCTCCGCCCACCCCAGCAAGCGCTCCGCCCACCCCCAGCAAAGCTCCGCCCACCCCCAGCAAAGCTCCGCCCACCCCAGCAAGCGCTCCGCCCACCCCACAGCAAGCGCTCCGCCCACCCCACAGCAAAGCTCCGCCCACCCCACAGCAAAGCTCCGCCCACCCCCAGCAAAGCTCCGCCCACCCCCAGCAAGCGCTCCGCCCACCTCCAGCAAAGCTCCGCCCACCCCCAGCAAGCGCTCCGCCCACCCCACTCACACACACACACACACACACACACACACACACACACACACACACACACACCCCGCACTGGAAAACGACATGAACGGAGGACAACTCCCAGAGCGCAACAGGAGGAGGAACGGAGAGAGAGCAGAAGCCGCGCTCGTGGAGGACGGAGCAGACGTGGCACGCGCGTGTGCGCTCACTACTGCACGCGCACTCGATCCCAAATGTCACATCGCCCCGCAACCAGTACCCACAGGGCAGTTCTGCTTTCCTCTCCTGTCTCGTCTTCAGAAACAACGCCGCAGCTTGTGGATAGTCTTTCAACTTTTTCTTTAAAAGTTAACCTATGTTATATGCGTACTATACATTTATGTGCATACAAGTCCATAACACAATGTAGATACACGCACCCTGCTACTCAAAGCACAGCCTGTGTGGTGGCTCAGGGAGGGATGCAGGGAAGCAGACCCAGAGCCCAGGAGGCTTGGCCGATGCGTGACCGGCGCTGACAGCACCACACGCAAGCCTGCATGGGGATGGCGTGCAGCGGGGACACGGAGCCTTGACTGGAAGGCTGCCCCGCCGGCCAGCGGCTGCGGCGAAGCATAAGCCAGGCGTCAGATTGGAAAGAGAAGCGGGGGTTGGGGCGATGTTTCGATGTAGGGGAAAAGAAAGTCTCTTGCTTTTTCCAGTGCGGATCATTCAGGATCCACAGTTTCCAACGCAGAACAGAGCCGTGGGGGCCAAGCCTAGCGTGGTCACAAAGGGGGACGTGCTCGCTGACAGAACTGTCCCAGGAGCAGCTATCTGATGGCTCCGGGTTACAACCCCTACAGCAAAGGCAAGTGTCTTTCTCCAGTCTGCAGTCTAGGGTGAGTTTTCTGAAATGGGGGAAAGAAATCCACCCACAGAACCACCGTTTTCTTGGGTATTTTCAAGTTGACCAGAAGAGTTTCACACTGCGGGAGCTGGAAGAGAGATTGTCCAGCTGCTGGGGTCACAGGCAGGAGAGAAGCCAGGGAAGGAACCTCTGGCTGGGTCAGCTGCTGGGTGGGAGAGGAGGGCCGCAGGGGAGGATGGCCGCGGGGGGGGGGGGGGGGAGGGCGGCCGTGGGGGAGGCCGGCCACGGGGCTGAGGGAGGGCGGCCGCGGGGCTGAGGGCTGAGGGTAGGAGGCAGCGCCTGACGGGGAGGGGGCCGTGGGTCTGCAACCCCTCCGTCCCCGGCTCTTCCCTGCACCGACAGCTGAACAACGGCCGGGCCGCTGCCACCATCTGCCTTCATGCCCAGACTTAACAGCTCAGAACTAAGAAACCCATCTCTCCCTGGGCGAGAGAAGATGGTGCCCAGCAACCAAGGCCTCCCTCTTGGAGAGTTCAACTATCGTTGGGGTGGGATTATCATCGCTGACCCCCTGCTGAGCAAACTGTAAAAACCAAGCGTGCCTGCAGTTTGTGAAGACCAAGCCAGCCCTACCTTGAAGATGAAGTCGGCCATCAGAGGACCAGCGATCTTAAAGGTTTGCCTCTCTGCGCTCTTCTGAAACTCCACGGTTGTGTTCTCAATGGTAAAGACTCCCGGGCTGCTGAAGCTGTGTTCTCCTTTGTTTCCTTGAAGTGTTTTCGATTCAATAACTGAAATTAAAGCACAGCCTTTAATGAGAGAGCTGTCCTAAGGCATTTGTTTCAGAGGACATGTATGAGGCACGGCGTCCATGTATGACAGCAGCACAGTACCACAACGTCCACGCCGTTTATGTATTTTTTATTTTTTAGCGGCGTTAGGGTTGAGCTCCGTCTCCCAATGCCAGGTAGTTCTTCCACTTGAACCACGCCCTGACCGTTTTTCATTGTTCTTGGATTTCAGGTAGGGTCGCATGACTTACTGTCCAGGCCCAGCCTCTGACTGCAATCCTCCCGCCGCTGCCATCTTCCATTGCTTAGAGGCTGTCAGGCCTGGCTCCTTGATTGGATGAGGGGTCTCATGAACGTTTCCTATACTGGCCTTAAACTCTGATCCTCCCAACCTCTGCCTCCCAAGTAGCTAGCTGGATTACAAGCATGAGCCGCTGTGCTCAGCTCTATTAGCTTTATAAATATCCACACTGGAGGAACAGATATGCCCAATTTTTAGTTGCATAATAAGGCACTTAAAAAAGGGTATCAGGCCCAAATAGATCTACTTGATTTCTTGGAGGCATTTCTACTATTAAGGGAAAAGCACACTTTTTTCCTACCTTCTCCACTTCACTCACTAAAAACCTAGTGAGTGAAGCATGTCTGCTTTTGTATGGAAGGTCAAGTGTAGGTCCTGATCTCGTATTTAGGGACGGCCGCAGTGCAGGTCTGGGCTCTGCCCGGTGCCTGCCTGAGTCCAGCCCCGAGTACCACAAACAAGTATCAACCACAGGTCAATTCAATGTTGCCTTTAAAAAAAAAATCCTTCTATTTTGAAATAAGTGTAGAATTGTGGGGAATTCAAGCCCTGGACAGAGAGGAGGCAGGGCTGGTGCAGGCCCCGAGGGTTTGGTGACAGCACCACAGCCAGCCCGCCATCGATGGGAAGAGCCGCGTGCGTGTGCGCGGTGACGCTTCATTACGCAGCAGCAGTCAAGTGCGCACTGCATTCCAGTCCCTCTCCTCGGAAGACCACAGCCAGCACTCCAGCCGCCACAGCGAGCTCCCCTTCCCTCCTCTCCTTCCTCTTCTTTGGTTAAGGGTCGTCATTCTCCGTAGGGCTGGTCTGGGGTTGGGAGAGGCAGAGTGGGGTCCCGGGGCAGCCGGCTCCCTCACACGGCCGGGGCTTCACGGCCTCCTTCTAACACGGGAGTCAGCGCCCTCCCCCCCAGCCCTGCTCCAGAAGGCCCGCGCTCAGATTCCAAGGCCTGCGTCGAGGGGCACTGCCACCTTACACAGAGGACCAACACATTCTCGCTCAGCTCCACACTTAAACATGGACGGCAAGGAAAGCGCCGTGGAACCATCCGGCACCAGGCGCCCCGGGCCTCGCTGCTGGGCTTCAGCTGTTTCCATTCCCGTGGTTTTCTGCCAGGGAGTCGCTGCAGGGATCCCAGGCTGGGCCGGGGAGACGCTCTGATGATCACGGACAGGCAGGCAGGGAGCGTCTCTGGAAAATCCAAAGGCTAGCCAGGAGCTCCCGATCTGGAGGAGTCATTAAGCGGGCGAAGCGCGGTGCGAGGCCGACTTCAGGCACAAAGGCCCCTCCGCGTTGGCCCCGATCTCCTACCACAGTCGGCTTTTGGAAAGGGTGAGATTAAATTCATTTCCTTGTTCCGATGAAGACATAAAACCGAGCGTCCCAAAGTGAGCTGTCAGGAAAAACAGGATGAGGAAGCTCAGAGGCGAGCGAGCCCTGCCCAGGGGGAACGTAGGTCTCTCCAGAAGGAAGAGCAGCGGGCCATGCTGGAACACGGACGGAGCCGGCGAGTGACCCGGCCAGCCAGGAGGAGCCCATCCCACGCAGGGCCGAGCCTGAGGCTTCCAGGTGAGATTCCGACTGAGGGCGAGACTCCATCTCAAAAATAACCAGTACAGCCGGGCACCTGCGGCTCATGCCCCTCATCCTAGCTACTCAGGAGGATGAGGTCTGAGGACTGAGGTTCAAAGCCAGCCCAGGCAGGAAAGTCCATGAAACTCTAATCTCCAACAAACCACCAGAAAACTGGAAGTGGCATTGTAGCTCAAGTGGTAGAGCGCTAGCCTTGAGCTGAAGAGCAGAGGGACAGCGCCCAGGCCCAGAGTTCAAGCCCCATGGCTGACAAAAAAAAAGTGCAAAAAAGGGCTGGAAGCCTGGATCGAGTGGAAGAGGGCCTGCCCTGATTTCCACCCTGGGCCTTGCTGCCCGCACAGCGGACACATTTGCTTCCTTTCAGTGTGCATGCCCCCCCCCAAATAAATGTTACAAAAGGTGTTTGTGGGTTTTTAAATCAATAATGCCAGTGCCGACGCCCACGTGTCTCCTGCAGCCTCGGGCGGTGACGACGTGGAATTCATGGCTGGCAAGCTCTTCAGTTCCCAGAGCGCACACAGGACGCTCAGCGGCTCCAGCTGCACCATGGTGAGGGCCGTGGGGCCCCGGGGGCTGCGGTCAGTCCCCAGGAGGAGTGCGGGGTGTCCTTCCCGCTGCCCAGCCCGCCTCCCCTCTGCAGGGGTGCTGGGCAGGGAGGGGCGAGGCTGAGCGCGGCCAAGCAGCGGGCAGGGGAATCCGCGTCTTCACGACTCAAACCCGCAGCCACCCTGGAAACATTTCCATCCATACTTGGTATTTTGTAAAAGGTTACGTGTGCTTCTGGGCCAGCGTCAGCCTGAAGTCACGTAACTCTCGGGAAGAGTCCTGCATAGGTTCTAGAAACCCCGGGAGCGGTCTGCACTGTGAACTTTGCACGCCCCAAACCCCTGTGGCCTGCAGACGGGCGGTCTCACCCGGGTCCATTCCCCTCTCCCGGGACGCAGAGCCCCGGGGCCGGGCGTCTCCCCACAGCCCGAGGCAGAACACCAGCTAGAGACGCTGCCCTGGGAACGGGCGGCAAATCCCCCCACAGGTCACCCGCCAGGAACCCGGGAAGCCCCCCGCAGGTCACCCGCCAGGAACCCGGGAAGCCCCCCGCAGGTCACCCGCCAGGAACCCGGGAAGCCCCCCGCAGGTCACCCGCCAGGAACCCGGGAAGCCCCCCGCAGGTCACCCGCCAGGAACACGGGAATCCCCTCGCATGTCACCCGCCAGGAACACGGGAATCCCCCCGCAGGTCACCCGCCAGGAACCCGGGAAGCCCGCTGCGCAGGCCTCAAGGCAACACGTAGGAAACAGCTAGGGTTGCGTTCTGCTTACAGAGGTGGGCTGGTCCTTTCGCCGTGATCCTCACCCGGAGGCTTCCCAGAGGTACAGCAATCGCGGTCTCCTCTCCTGGGGAGGAACGGGAGACAGGTGTCATGGAGGTTCATGCACGGAAGGCCTCACGAGGGGGTCGTGGGGAAGGGAGCGCTGCGGGTCTTCTCGGCTCCGTCTCAAGCCTCCGGAGGCGCTGGCCACGCGGGGCTGGCTGCGCTGTCCCGTAACCCTGCCATCTTGGCCTGTGGACACCCCGGGAAGCCCTGTCCGCTCCCTCCCGTGTCCTTCGACGGGTCTCCCCCCCAGGTGGACCTCGGGGGACACGGCGCACTCCACCCGGTTCTGTTTTCTATGCTTGCTTTACACACTCGGACCTGGGGCCAGGAGCCAGTGCTTCCTGGGGCTCACGCGGCAGGGAGGACTGGCGTTCGGAGCAGAAGGCAGGGCAGCGGTTTGCAGGACTCAGGGAGGGAGGAAATCGGGGTACAGATTTTTTGGCCATTGTTGTTTTTCTGTGTTGGGATCAACGTGCTAGGCAAGCACTCTGACACTGAGACACACACCCAGTCCTCAGGGATGCAGGTCAGGGCCTCGCTGGGCACCCCGGCCTGGCACCCCTTACGATGGGGAGGCCTGGTTGTGTTTGCAATGGTGGGGAGAGGGGGAGGAGATGGAGGAGGGAGGGCGGGCAGGCCAGAGGCCGCAGACGGAGGCATTCATCGGCCCTGGGCCTCACGGGCGGGTGGTCCCTGTGGGTTTGTTATTGTTGGAGTTTTATTTCTTTGCAGTTCTCCACAGAGTCTGTCCTAGAAACCAGTGTCCTGGTGGGAAGGCACAGGACCCGGGCTGCATTCCCCGGGCCTCACTGGGGCTGGGCCGCGCTGGACCGGCGGCCTTCATCTGGCCAAGCCAGGCTCCCCGTTTCCCACCACACCCCACGCCTTCCACTGCCAGAAAGCCAGCAGACCGCGAGCATGGCTGAGGCGGCTCATGGAGCCGGAGGGTCCTGTCCAGGGTCACTTGCACGGCGGTTCTCAACCCGGGGCCAGGGAGCTCACGGCCGTGGGGAGCTGGGCGGTGGGGAGCTGGGGTGGAGATAAATGGATGGATGGAGATTGGTAGGAAGGCAGCTAGATGGACAGATAGACAGATGAAAAAAGATAGATAAGATGATGCATAGAGGAATAAGTGATGGAGGATGGGGCTGGGAAGGTGGCTCAGGGGTAGAGCGCTGCCTCGCGTGCAGGAGGCCCTGGGTTCAATTCCTCAGCACCACATAAGAAAAAAGAAAAAAGCCAGGGCTGGGAAGGTGGCTCAGTGGTAGAGCGCTGCCTCGCGTGCAGGAGGCCCTGGGTTCGATTCTTCAGCACCACATAAGAAAAAAGCTGGAAGTGGCACTGTGGCTCAAGTGGTAGAGCGCTCGCCTTGAGCTGAAGAGCTGAGGGACAGCGCCCAGGCCCAGAGTTCAGGCCCCACGACCGGATCCAAAAAAAAAAAAACAAAACCAAAAAAATGATGGAGGATGGGGCTGGATTGATAGGTAAGATGGTGTGGTGATAGATTGATTTGTAAGAAGGTGAAGGTGGTAGACAGATAGATGACAGAGAAGATGCTGCAGGTGGTAGGCTGACAGATGACAGGGAAGATGCTGCAGGTGGTAGACAGATGACAGAGAAGATGCTGCAGGTGGTAGGCTGACAGATGACAGGGAAGATGCTGCAGGTGGTAGACAGAGAGATGACAGGGAAGATGCTGCAGGTGGTAGACAGATGACAGATGACAGAGAAGATGCTGCAGGTGGTAGACAGATAGATGACAGGGAAGATGCTGCAGGTGGTAGGCTGACAGATGACAGGGAAGATGCTGCAGGTGGTAGACAGAGAGATGACAGGGAAGATGCTGCAGGTGGTAGACAGATAGATGACAGGGAAGATGCTGCAGGTGGTAGGCTGACAGATGACAGAGAAGATGCTGCAGGTGGTAGGCTGACAGATGACAGGGAAGATGCTGCAGGTGGTAGGCTGACAGATGACAGGGAAGATGCTGCAGGTGGTAGACAGATAGATGACAGGGAAGATGCTGCAGGTGGTAGGCAGATGACAGGGAAGATGCTGCAGGTGGTAGGCTGACAGATGACAGGGAAAATGACAGATGGAAAGGCTGGTGGCTCACAGGGTTTAAACCATTTTGTTGTTGGTGCACACAGTGTTAGTCTTTTGTCTGAAGCGCTGTTTGTTTTGGCATGAATCTTATCACTTGCACTTTCTTTCTTCTGTCAGAACGGATGCTTCCCAGCCATTGACAAATGGCTCCTGGGTCCAGAGCCAGAGGCCAGATGGAGGCACACGGAGCCACGTGAAGGAGGGGCAGCGTGAGTCCACAGCAGCAGCTGCCTTGGGGCTCGGCGCAGGCTCGATCCAGGCCCTCAGAGACCCACCTCAAGCGCAGGAGAGATGCCGCCGGGCCGGCCCTCGGCCGCTCCTCCCGCAGCACAGGGACAGCCGGGGAGTGGAGAATGGCGTCGCTGCCCGCACAGAGGGCGGACGGCAGAGCCCACATCCGCCACATCTGAGCGCGGTGCTGGAGAGGCAGCACCCGGTTCAGAGTCATTCCAGCAGCTTCTAAAGGAGATCTGGGGGAGAAGAGCCCGAGGTCCGGATGGACATCCAGGGTTTGGAACCCCTACCTCCGAGGGGAGGCCACCTGCGCTGCGTAAGGTCAGATTCAAGAACCGCAGCGTGCTGCCCCGGGGCTCTCCCTCCCACCCAGAAGGGCTCCAGTCCAGCCGCTCCGCCCTGTCTCCCTGTCCTCATTTCCTGCTGCGAGGCAGCAAGATGTACAGGAAGTCAACTGTTACCTAATCAATGAGGATGCGCCTGGCCCCGGAGGACAGCCACAGGACCACAGCGCTCCCGAGTCCCGGCTCCACCCGCAGCGGGCACACGCGGGGCCACAGCCCGGCCTCACAGGAGGGAGGCCTCCTGCGGTGTCCAAAGATCCATGGCTTTTCCCGACCCAACAAGATGTCATTCAGATCTTTCTCATGTTTCTTTTCTTAATCCTTCACTGTACAGCACACCGCACACTCCACACAGTTCATCACACACCCCACACAACCCACCACACACCCCGTACGACCCACCACACACCACACAACCCAACTCACACCACACAACCCAACTCACACCACACACCCCGTACGACCCACCTCACACCCCACACACAACCCAACTCACACCCCACAACCCAACTCACACCCCACAACCCACCTCACACTCCACACCCCACCTCACACCACACACGACCACCTCACACCACACCCCGTACGACCCACCTCACACCACACACCACAACCTAACTCACACCACACAACTCACCTCACACCACACAACTCACCTCACACCACACACGACCACCTCACACCACACCTCACACCACACACGACCACCTCACACCACACACCACACCTCACACCACACACGACCACCTCACACCACACACAACCCACCTCACACCACACACCACACCTCACACCACAGACCACACCTCACACCACACACGACCCACCTCACACCACACACGACCACCTCACACCACACACCACAACCTAACTCACACCACACAACTCACCTCACACCACACAACTCACCTCACACCACACACGACCACCTCACACCACACCTCACACCACACACGACCACCTCACACCACACACCACACCTCACACCACACACGACCACCTCACACCACACACAACCCACCTCACACCACACACCACACCTCACACCACAGACCACACCTCACACCACACACGACCACCTCACACCACACACGACCACCTCACACCACACACCACACCTCACACCACACACGACCACCTCACACCACACACCACACCTCACACCACACACGACCACCTCACACCACACACGACCACCTCACACCACACCTCACACCACAGACCACACCTCACACCACACACGACCCACCTCACACCACACACGACCCACCTCACACCACACACGACCACCTCACACCACACACGACCACCTCACACCACACACGACCACCTCACACCACACACGACCCACCTCACACCACACACCACACCTCACACCACACACGACCACCTCACACCACACACGACCACCTCACACCACACACGACCCATCTCACACCACACACGACCACCTCACACCACACACGACCACCTCACACCACACACGACCACCTCACACCACACACCACACCTCACACCACACACGACCACCTCACACCACACACGACCACCTCACACCACACACGACCCACCTCACACCACACACCACACCTCACACCACACACGACCCACCTCACACCACACACGACCCACCTCACACCACACACCACACACGACCACCTCACACCACACACGACCACCTCACACCACACACCACACCTCACACCACACACCACACCTCACACCACACACGACCCACCTCACACCACACACGACCACCTCACACCACACACGACCACCTCACACCACCCACGACCACCTCACACCACACACGACCCACCTCACACCACACACGACCCACCTCACACCACACACGACCCACCTCACACCACACACCACACCTCACACCACACACCACACCTCACACCACACACGACCCACCTCACACCACACACGACCCATCTCACACCACACACGACCACCTCACACCACACACGACCACCTCACACCACACACGACCACCTCACACCACACACGACCCACCTCACACCACACCCCGTACGACCCACCTCACACCACACACCACAACCTAACTCACACCACACAACTCACCTCACACCACACAACTCACCTCACACCACACACGACCACCTCACACCACACCTCACACCACACACGACCACCTCACACCACACACCACACCTCACACCACACACGACCACCTCACACCACACACAACCCACCTCACACCACACACCACACCTCACACCACAGACCACACCTCACACCACACACGACCCACCTCACACCACACACGACCACCTCACACCACACACCACAACCTAACTCACACCAC